GCGTTCCGACCGGCTGATCCCCGGGCTTCTTTGGAGAACCTAGCGTGGCCAATGGGTGAGTGGTCGTTCAGGCTGCGGGGGGTTTCTCTGTCTTCGTGCCTGCTGCTTTCCCACCTTACTGCCTCGGGCTCGCCTCCGGACGACAGCTGTCCCTTGGAGGGCAGCCTCCGTCCTTGACTGCCCTGTGCTCCCGCTCCGACTTCTCCCGGGGTTCTGATGGTCGGCTCCGGGATGGCTGGAGATGAGCGCGGGGCCGTGTGCAGAAGGGAAGGTTGAGGCTTTGTTTTTGCTCTTCCTATGTTCTTTCATTCATTCCTTTGTTTCTTGTCCAGGAAAGCATTCCTTTCGACTTGAGAATTAGAAGTGCAGGTGTTAGTGCAGGGCAAGGAAGCAGAAGCAAATTGTCACATACGATTTCTCACCTCAAATGTCAATTTTTTTGTTGTTGTTGTTTTGTTTTTCGAGACAGTGTTTCTCTGTGTAGTCCTGCATGTCCTTGAACTTGCTCTGTAAACCAGGCTGGCCTTGAAGGCAGAGATCCATCTGCCTCCCGAGTGCTGGGTTTAAAGGCGTGCACCACTACACCGGGCATCAAATGAAAATACATTAGAGCCCTTCACAACTGGCCAAACAAAACAAAAAACAAAAACCAGGGTCAACATTTTAGCCATTCACCAAAGGCTATGAACGGTGATTGTACAGATTCTTGTTGTTAGGTACGTGAGCTTTGCTTTTTGTTGTTGTTGTTGTTGTTGCACTGATATTCAGTCCTTGGTTTTGAGATCTTTTAGATGCAAAGCCATTTGAGAAGGGGCTTTCGGTGCCTTAACTTTCTTCTCAGAAAACCTGGGATAATTCACTTCATGTATTTAGTTCATTACAATTCAGTTGTAAAAAAGATGTCAAGGGTGGAGATATGGCTCAGCAGTTTAAGAGCACTTGCTACCCTTCCTGACCACTGGGAACAACAGTCTCAGGACTCTGTGCAACTCCAGTTTCCTAGGATCAGATACCCTTTTTCTGACCATGGTCTTTTGGCCTCTACAGGCACCAGGCAGGTACATGGTGCATAGACATAAATGCAGGCAACACACACATAAAAACATAATACTATTATAAAGTCTTTTTTAATATTCTAAAATAAGGAAGCATGGGTTTAAGAAAAGATGTCAAGTACTTGATAAAAGTGAAAATATCAGACGTGAGGCATTTTAGACTGTTTTTCTGTTTTCCCTCAAAAATGTAAAGACAAAAAACCCCAAGTCTACAGGAACTTGAAGGGAAGGGCCTTGTAACCAGAATCTCCACATTGAGAATGATGAAAGATTTGAGGAAATTTATTGTTCAGTGATAATAATGATAAAATGCAAATTCCCACACAGGCCACCCTTGTTGTGGACTTATTTCACGGTATATGGCAGATTCTTAGAGAGGACAGCCACACACATCATCACTGTCCTCTGAGGACCTTCATGGCCCTTGAGCAGCATACTCCATGTATGGTCATTGAGCAGGGAAGAGAATCAGGTGTCGCTGGTTCTGAAGATGCCTTCAGTAATTTCTCCTGGATGAGGTCCAAGATGAATTAGAGGTTCTTATGATTTGGAGATCCTTGGGGTTTTGTTTTTTAAAAAGCTTTTTTTTTTTCTCCCCATATCTTTAAGAAATTAATTGGAAGGCAGTGGGTGGTTCCTAGGTAATTGGTCAGAAGCTCAGTGCCAGCACTGGTAAAATTTACCCCTGTCCTCAACAAAAATGATAAAAGCGAGGATATTGCTTTTATGTGGAGATGAATTGATTTGTTTTATAGACCTACCTCTATAAATTGTTCTGAAATTGTCTCCCTCAGCCTTTCTGTTAATGTTTTCTGTTATGAAAAAGAATGTGTGTGCACCCAGTGTCCCAGCTGGGCAAAATGAAGAATATTGACCTATCAGTGATTTGTTTTAATTAATGTTTTATATTGTATGATATGTGTGGCACTGGGGAGTGCCTGCTGGAGCACACATATTGGAGGATGACAAATTTCTGGTGTCCTTCCTCCCCTTTTACCATGCACTCTAGAAATCAAACTCCTCAGGTAGTTTAGGCTGCTTGGCAAGTGCTTTTACCAGAGCCATCTCTCTGGTCCTCTATCAGTGATGTAAAAAACAAAAATTGCTTATGACCTTATAGTCAATGAGATCCCAAAGTCTAGTAATAGGGACTGCTTCCTGGAGCCATTGGGACGATCCAGGGGTAGGTACCCGGGGCTAGGACCTGCTGTGCTGGTTGAAGACCAATATGAGGCTCAGGGTGAACAGTAAGATGCAAGTATCATTTTCTGTAATGTCACAGTCTGAAAGAATTTAAAAGTAAATGCACCAAGATGTGTCTATTGCATGATTTTTAAGGGCGGTTGAGCTACTTCTGCCAATTAGTTCAGCTATTATCAGGTTATTATTATTTATAACCACAGAAGATGTTACTATACTGGCATTTGTTTTTAAAAAGCTGTCGATATTCAACCAGCATGCCTTGGACTGTATTGTGGGAAGACCCTATTATTTAAAAACGGCTCAAATGAAATCTATGGAGAATGTGGGGTAAGTCCTATGTTAATATTATTTTATTTTAAGACCTGTTGTTTATTTACTTTGGGAACTTGCATGTAGAATTTTTTTGTTTTAAATATTTATGAATGTATAAGATGTGGTATTAATAGAAGCCTTGTTTATATTGGCATGTTGATAACTATATTAGAATATTTGATAGTCATAGATATTAAAATATTTTATGTCTAATTATTGTTTAATGATTTATCAAAGTGTTTTGTATAGTCAATTAACATGACAATTCCAGAACACTTCTGCAATAATTTTTGTATGATGTTACTAACAAGGTTTTTCACTGAATATTAGTTAGCTGTTTTAGCAATTAAGTGGAAAGGGTCTTCATTGAGCATTTTGCAGACAGCACAGGTGATGTGGATTTCTTGAAGTGTTTTCTTATTTAGGTTCCTTTTATTCTGCTTACAGATTTTCTTTTTTAATTTCTAAAAGCTACACATAAATGGTAAACTGTTTAAAATAAAATGGGATCCCTTATAGAATGACTCTAAAATACTATTTGTGTATAAAGCAATGTTTTTACATGTTGTAGGTGTGCCCAAGAGGACAGAGAACAAATGCACAGAAATACTGCCAGCCTTGCACAGAGTCCCCCGAACTTTATGACTGGCTCTATCTTGGATTTATGGCGATGCTTCCTCTTGTTCTACATTGGTTCTTCATTGAATGGTACTCGGGGAAAAAGAGGTGAGCACATCCTGATCGTATCTGGATGGACCAGTGATGGAGTAATGATCACATGTTGTGATGCTGAGTACACAGTCGTCTGCTAGCCTACACCCTCAGCCCACTTGTTTCAAAGGGTACAACATGCTTTTCTTTTTATTTCTACTGTTTTTTCCTGAAATGAGAACGCCACAATAGGATACATCTTAGTAAGTGTTATTAGCACTCTGATAAATAACATTATTTCTCAAAGATGATACTTACTGAGTTTCTGCAAAAATTGGTTAGGAACACAAGCTGTTACTGTTTTAGAACAAATACTTTGTGACTTAATTTAATGCTAATGACCTGGTATAATTACGAGAGCTGACTAGTGCATGGTTAGTGCATTTATGGAGTAGTGTGTTTTATGTTTGGAAGATCAAAGGATGAGAGAGAGAAGAAGTGGAGAAGACAGACAGGTAAATGATAATAATATCAATCCATCCTAGAGGTGTAGTGAAACATTCTATTGTCAACATCTGTAGTCACAAAGAATGGGGAGAGAAATTATGCCTAATAGAATCTAAAAGACTTAAAAAGAAATGCTAAAACAGTTGTGACATAAAAAAGATGGAGGAATGCTAATGTGATCTGAATTGGTACAGGTGTGGGTTGCAAAGGAAGGAAAGGTAATAATGAAAGTGGGTGGAGGCCGGAAGGAGGTTCTTGACGAGTATATGCCTGGCCCTTTTATAGGGAATGGGGAGACAGATTCTTCCTTAGTTGTCTCAGCCTTCGTAGCTTTTGTTCCTCTGCTCTTGTGAGTTTTTCCTGCTTTGGTCTTTTTACTTTCTCCAAGCTCTTTTTGCTGCCTAGCATTGTGGAGGCAGAAGGGAGATTGGTGTGGTTGAGAAATGAGAGCTGAGAGTAGACTGACAAAGAAGGACTGAGCCTAGATCCAGAGGCCTGGGAATGAGAAATCTTATGGACAGTTAAAAAACAACAACAACAACAAAACAAAACAAAACAAAAAACTGGGGCATAATTCCAGAGCTGGTGGTAAAGAGCATATGGTTTTCCACACATTTTGACCCTGCATCATGCACCTTGTACCTAATTGGCCAAAGCATTGACATTGCTCTGGGATTGTGCTCCCTGTTTCTCCAGCTCCAGTGCTCTGTTCCAGCACATCACTGCACTGTTTGAGTGCAGTATGGCAGCTATCATCACCTTGCTGGTGAGTGATCCAGTGGGTGTCCTTTACATCCGTTCCTGCCGAGTACTGATGCTTTCGGATTGGTACACGATGCTTTACAACCCGAGTCCAGATTACGTTACCACAGTGCATTGCACTCATGAAGCAGTCTACCCGCTGTAAGTATTCAGACCTCTGAGAAAGAAACAGTCGTAGATTCCATTGATTTGGACAGATCAATTGTAAACTTCTAGGTGCAGGAAAAGATAGTAGAAATTATTTTCTTCTCTGAAGGCATGCAGAGTATAATAGGAGAAAATAGTATGTTTGGTTTTTTTGTTTGTTTGTTTGTTTGTTTTGCTTTTTTGAGACAGGGTTTCTCTGTATTGCTTTGGAACCTATCCTGGAACTCAATCTGTAGACCAGGCTGACCTTGAACTCACAGAGATCCGCTTGCCTCTGCCTCCCAAGTGCTTGGATTAAAGGCATGTGCCACCACTGCCTGGCTGCATTTGATCTTTTTATATGTAGGAAACGTAAGAACAGAATGGAATATTATTTAAAAAAGATATGTACTCATTTTATTTAAAATTAAATCAGATTCATTACATAAATGGGATTTATTATAAAAATATCAAATTAGAAGGAAAATGGCAAATGGGTGGCCTGAGCCCTCTTTCTGCGCCCATAGCCGCTACTCCTATTTTTAAGTCTGTTGTCTTTTAAAATTCTAATCATGATAATTAAATTAATGGGAAGCATAGAAGTTCATTAATTTGGGATGGACACAAACAAATACATGGGGTAGAGTCCAAATATGGCTATCTATATCAGCTAAAAGTAATTGAGTTATTGGTCATTATGTAAGAGATTACAAGGTTTGTTTTGTGCTGATAAAGTTAATTACACATTCTGGAATCTTCTCCAGGTGATTCAAGCTTCCATAGCTTTCTCTTGTCCTGTCGCTTTTGTTAGTATTTAAATCAGTTGAACTATTAATACACACACCATGACACATGTACACATAATAACAATGAACCTTTCGAACAGATTTACCTTTATGTGTGTTTATGTCTGTGTGAATGTGTGCCCTGTGTGCAGGTGCCATCGCAGGCTAGAAGAGGGTTCCAGGTTTCTTAGAGGTGAGGTTACAAGTAGTTTTAAGCTGCCTGGCATGGGTTCTGGGACTGTTCTTGGGTCTTCTGCAAGAGCACACTACCATTTAACTGCTAGCCATCTCTCTGGAACAGGTAATTTTTTACAAGTCAAATCCAAATAAAATCCAGAGTTCAAACTGCTTACCTAAATTATGAAAAGTATGCTTCTTTTTTGTTTCTGTTGAACTTTTACTACTTATTCTTTTAATTGACATATCCAATGATTGAATACCTTATTCACTGTGTCTGCTGTTTGTTGCCCATTTACATTTTTCATGGCTGTGTAGTGTCCACTATGAGTTTACAATAAAATTAACTGTGTTGCCATCATTGAATATTTTATTTCTAAGTTTTCTTTATTATAACTCACAAAAAAAATCTTTTTTTGTTTATTCTTGATGGTTTCTCTGATAAATTTCTTCCAGTAGAACTTCTGGATCTACAAGCATTTTGAGCTGGCGATGGCTCAGTGCGTGTAAGTGAGGACTTGGGTTCAGATCCCTAATGCTAATAAAGAAAGCTGGGTGAAGCATCCTGAAATACCAGTTCAGGTAGACTGAGACAGGAGGATGCCAGGGGTTCCATAACCATCCAGTGTAGCCAGATGCTGAGCTCCAGACTCAGTAAGAGACCCTGTCTCAAAAAAATAGGGTAAACAAAAGACAGCCGCATGAACCTCTGGCCTCCACTGGTACATGCATGGGCACACCTACCTGCACACAGTCATGCAGAGCTCCTCTCCAAAGAAGTAAAGCTTCAAATATATGAACATTTTAAAGATGGTTTTAAAAGATGTATTTATTTTTATTTTATGTGTATGGGTGTTTTGCCTGCATATATGTCTGTGCCTTGGGGGTGCTGGGAACTGAACCCAAGTTCTCTGCAAAAGCAGCGAACATTCTTAAATGCTGAGCCGTCTCTGCAACACCATCTTTCGGATTTTTGAGATATTTTCAAACATACAAAAAATGGGTGTGTGTGTTTCTTGTCCTCCCCCCCTTCACCAGTCTGTGTGTCTTAATGTGTAGACTTGGTAGCATTTTCAGCCTTCTTTTAAGAACTTTGATTTAAGAACATCAAGGATAGAAGTGTGTTAAACATATCCCAATCCATTCCTCCTTTTGCAGATACACCATCGTGTTTGTTTATTACGCCTTCTGCCTGGTGTTGATGATGCTTCTCAGGCCTCTGCTGGTGAAGAAGATTGCCTGCGGGCTGGGGAAGTCTGAGCGGTTCAAAAGCATCTATGCTGCCCTTTACTTCTTTCCCATCCTGACCGTGCTGCAGGCAGTTGGTGGAGGCCTCTTGTGTAAGTTTGATGAGTAAAAAGTCAGTGTTATCCCAACTGAACTTTACAGCCTTCTCTTTAAAGTCATCCTTTAATCCTTGAAGGCAGGCCTTAGTGTCTCTGCCAGAACATAGTGTTATTAAAAACACTATGGATGGAATAGAGTTTCTCAACAAAATGAGACTGAAGTTTGTAACAAAACTGGAAGATTTTAAAATTCTGAGCATAAAAGTTTAAAAAGCAGCTTTATATATCATAGCTGAAAATTTTTGTTGGCAATAAGTATTGCTTACTGTTGTCTTAGATTTCTAAGGTCCCTTATAAAAATCTTTTTTTATAGCCGGGCGTTGGTGGTGTGTGCCTTTAATCCCAGCACTCAGGAGGCAGAGACAGGCGGATCTCTGTGAGTTCAAGGCCAGCCTGGTCTACAGAGCTAGTTCCAGGAGGGGCTCCAAAACAATACAGAGAAACCCTGTCTTGAAAAACAAAAACAAAACAAACAAACAAAAAAAAGAAAACAAAAAAAAATTTATATAGTTAAAAGTCTGTTAGTTAAGATAATCATTCATTTAGCAACTCTTGAGATCTTAGAAGAACAACTGGTAAGCCATTTTTAGAAGGCTCAAACATACCTCTGGGAGATAAAGGAGACACTTTCCAGACAGCTGAGGAAACATTGGAGGGGACCTTTGAATACATTGCCATTTTCCAAAACCGTTGCATGTTGCATAGTGTTTTTTCTAAGCAGTCTTCCAAGGAGTGGAGGACAAGCCTTTTGGCCCAGGAATGGGAAGGGGTGGGGATTTTATACAGCTTGATAATGTGCTTTGTTTCCAGGTGAAAGTGAAACTGCAAGAGGAGATTGGAGGTTCTTGAGGGTTCAGAGTCCATTAAGGGAGGGAATTATGGCTGCAAGTGGTAGATGAAGTGGCAAGAACAGCTGAGAGCTCACTGCAATCAGAGCCCAAACTGCAATCAGGAAGCAGAGAGTGAAGTAGAAATGTCATGAGTCTTTCAACTCCCAGAGTCAGCCTCCAGTGTCACACCTCCTCTGACAAGGCCACACCCCTTAAACTTCCCAAATAGCACCATCAATTGAACCAAATATTCAAACATGAGCTGATGGTGAACATTCTTATACAAACTACCCATAGGGACCTTACAAAGATTTAGGTAGAAGGGTGACATGATCAGATTTCCATTTTAGAAAGATAACTTGATGATACAGTGGACTGTCACAGAGAAAAGCTGGGGAATCCGCTTGCAGATGACTGTAGTAAACCGTGCCTGACCAACTGACCTAAACAGCGATGCCAGAACTTCGGAGCCATTTCAGAGTTCACTAAAATAAGTAATAAAGTTAACGCAGGGATTAGGGATGAACTGAACATATAATAAAATAATGTCCTTTTTAAATAACTGATAGATGGGTAAGCATTAGAGGAAATAAATAGATTGGGAAAAGTGAATTCATTTTAGGCACTCATACAAGGTCCAGGAGGGCAAGCGTTGGTGGCGCACGCCTTTAATCCCAGCACTCGGGAGGCAGAGGCAGGCGGATCTCTGTGAGTTTGAGGCCAGCCTGGTCTCCAGAGCAAGTGCCAGGATAGGCTCGAGGTTGCAGGTAGTAATTGATAGTGGGTAGACTTTGGAGGGACTGTCTAGGCTGGAGTTAAGCATTGTCACCCATTCACTTTTGAGTCTCTCCCTCACATACTAGGTACCTTCATACCAAGCCAGAGATGATCTGGGCCCACTCTACTTAGTAGTGCTTCAACCCTTTCTCTTTAGGTTGCTCAAAGAAGTACACCATGCAGAGGGGAGAGGGAGAGACATGGCTTTTCAGGCAAATACTACCCAACTCATTTCCTCTGTCACTCATACTTCCTATTACAAGGGAATTTTCCTTTAGGATATTTCATGCTTCTGGTCCTTGGACAGGATTCACTCAGAGAGCCTAATGGACCCTTCCAAGTTGGACAGCAGTAAAGAGCTGAAAATTGATGTCCTCAACCCTTGGGAACACACTGACTCAGGCATCATTGTGACCAAGGTTGAGCCTATGGATAATTTGGGAGACACTGCAGAGTCTGACTAAAAACTCATGGAAGCTCTCAGGCTATTACAGATATCTCCATTAATGAGCAGTTTGGTGTTGGACTTCATTCTGCCTATCTTGTGGCAAAGAAGTTTTTGTGGTCACCAAGCACAATGATGATGAAGCAGTGTGCCCGAGAGTTTTGTGCTGGTGGAGCCTTCACTGAATGTGAACCCATTGGTTGGAGTACCAAAGTGAGCCACTCCAAAGAAGACAGACCAACGGAACACTGAGAGGGGAGGCTGGTCAAGGAAGTAGTGAAAAAGCACCCACTGTTAATCAGTTATCTTGTCCTCCTTTGTTTGGAGGAGGAGGAAGAGAAGGGCATGAGTGATGATGAGATAGAAGAGAAAAAAGAGGAAGGCAAGGATAGTGAAGAGAAGCCTAAGACTGAAGATTGGGTGAGGATGACGACACGGTAAGGATAAGAAAAAAGAAATGAGGGGAGTTCAGGATGAACGCATTGATCAGGAAAAGCTGAGCAAGACCACACCCTTTAGAACAGAGATTCTGACGTCACCTCTCAGGAGGAATATGGCAAATATTGTAAGAGCCTCTCCAGAGACAGTTAAGGCCTCTCTACAGTCAAGCACTTCTCTGTAGTTAGATGGAATTCTAGGTGTTGCTCTCCATCCCTTGGCAAACTTTTGACCTCTCTGAGACAAAGAAGTGCAAAAACTTTGAATTCTGTATTCACCATGTGTTCATCATGGGCAGCTGTTAGGAGTTGATGCCCACATATTTCGGTTGTATCTGTGTCATTGTTGACTGAGAATTGCCCCTGAATATCTTCCAAGATGCTCCAATAGAGCAAAATCTTGGAAATGTCTACAAAAGCATTGACTGTGGAAGTGCCTTGAGTTGTCTCTGAGGTGCCAAACAACAAAGAACTGTAAGTGGTTCTGTGAGGCATTCTAAGAATCTGAAGCTTGGAATCCCTGAAGAGCCCACTAAGCAGCAATGCCTCTCTGAGCTGCTGAGCTGTCTGCCACCGCTCTGAGTCTGGAGATGACTTCTCTGTTAGCGTGTGGCTTGCATGAAGGGAACTGAAGTCTGTACACTCTTGTGAGAGCAAAGAGGAACTGTCCAACTCTGCTCTTGAGGACAAAAATGGATGTTTAAGTCATGCCTCATTTTCGAGAACTGGAGGCATCTGCCAAGGTGTTTGATGAACGGAGTCTGGTCTCCATGATGAAGGAGCATCAGGGTTTACCAGAGGAAGAGGAGGAAAAGGAGGAAGGGAGCAAGGCAGAGTTTGAGAACGTCGGCACACTCATGGAAGATGTCTTGGGTAAAAAGGTTGAGGAAGTGATTGTCTCTGCTAGGCTTATGCCTTCCTCCTGCTGTATTAGCGAGCACCTTCAGGCCAATGTGGAACAGATCATGAAGGTCCAGGCACTTTGTGACGGCTCTGTAGTGGGCTGATTGACAGTCAAAGGGCAGCTGGAGATCAACCCCAACCACCCCATTGTATAGACCTTGTAGAAGGCGGAGGCTTGGCTTACAAGGATGTCAAAGACCCAGGGCACTGCTGTTAGAAGTCTCCCTGTTTTCTTCTGGCTTCTTGCTTAAGGATCCCCCAACACTCTCCAGCTAAACCCATCCCCTGATCATGTGATGCTTGGCCACTCACGAAGATGAGGTGACATCGGAGGCCCCAACATTGCTGTTCCTGGTGGTACTCTGCTTGAGTATGATAAGAATGTATCATCTCACATGGAAGAAGATTGGGGTCCCCCTGCGAAGCCTGGGCCCTCTATATAGTTCCCTTACTGCTCCTACGGAAGCCTTGGGTGGCCCTGGCCCACCTGGCTCCCTCTGCTAATGTCCAGTGTTGTTTTTCTTCTGTCCTTGTGTGTCTAAGGCAGGAAAATCACATCCCTCACCCGACAGCAGGATTGGGCATTGTGTATTGTTTTTGTTTTGTCCTAGAATTAAAATATACAAATTAAGAAATAAAATTAAAAGCAGTTGTCTAATTCCTTTAGCCTAACTTTTGGTGCTGCTGTGTTGAAGCTCTTCAGAGCTGGAAGAAAGAGGAGAATTGTGGGAATAAGGAAATGGTTTGGAGTGTTAACTCAGGGAGACAGCCAGATGGTATTGCTTCCTAAATCACAGCCACTGTGAAGTATTTTACAGTAGTATGTAAAAAATTGACAGTAGTATGTAAAAAATTGACAGTAGTATGTAAAAAATTGACAGTAGTATGTAAAAAATTGACAGTAGTATGTAAAGTATGACAGAAATAGATCTGTTGGAGAAGGGTTAGACTAAAAAGTTTGCTAACAGGCCTCTACTCATACTCAGAGGATCAAATGCTTCTAATTCATTTACAGCCTCCTGCATTAGTCACAGAGGTCTCATACCAAATTCATGATTTGGGGAAAAAAATAAGTACTTTTTTTTTTTTTAACGAGATACAGCAAGTGAAGGCACAATGCATAGGGCAACTTCTGGAAGCTAAGCACACTGGGGATTGATGGCCTAGGGAGGAAAGGGCTGGGAATGCTTGGGTTGTGGTCAGTAACACACTTCGGGCTTAGAATATTCTTTAGCCAACATTTCAGGGAGAACATGCTGATTCCCAGGCCCTGGCTCAGACCCAGATGCACAAGGTCTCAGGTTGCTTTACATCCTCGCATTTAAGGACCATCCAAACCTATGCCTCGATGGGTAGTACATGTCTGACCCTGGAAGTTGGGGCTCTCTGACCAGATCATAACCACACACGTTAGCAATGTTATTTAGGTGTACTTTAAGTGAGTCTTTGGTTTTTGTTTTGTAGTGGCTGATTGAGGACACAATCACTAACAAAAAGTTATAGATATCATTAACTCACTTAATTCTAAATTAAGTTGAACAGGCCTATTGATAATTGATAATTCTGGCCACTGCAACCAAAATTAATGTTCCAACTTGTTCCAGATGTGCTTTGTAGAATAACTGGAAGTTTTATAAATTGAAGCTATTTTGAAGTAATTGTATAGAAATAATTCAGGGAATTTTTCTCAATTTGCCTATTTTGTGTGCTATAAATTTAGGCATAGTAGGAAAAGGGAAACTGTAATGTTTTGCAGGGAAGACATTTGCTTAAGATATTATTGCTATATTGTGTTTGAAATAGGAATTTCCAGAATTTTCACAGGAAGAATACCAAAAGAGTACTAACTAAAAAGTTTGATGACAAATAAACTTTTACAAAGACAGTGAAAGCTGAGTTACTCTTATGAATAGTCTTCTCAACCAAGATTCCCTTCCTGAACCATGAAGCAGAAAACTGAGTGTTCTCTCAGTTCTCATTTGGTATGTTTGCGTAGCTACTAGTAACATTCTAGATACATGGGAGAGAAACTGATTCTTCTCAATTAATTCTCCAGCTGGCTCAAATCTCTTAACTTCTCACAGGTGTGTGATAGATTTACATCCTTACAAGATTAAGAAAAAATTCATTGTGTGAAAATTATATGAAACTCTTATTATATTGTTTATGAAATTTTACTGGGACAGAGGCCTAGCCGCCGCTCATTTTCATGTGTCCTGTGCTGTTTGCATACTACATCTGTTGAGTCAGGGAATGGAGATGAAGACTGTGGCCTAGAAGACAAAAAATATTTATAATCCACAAAGTATTGGCTGTCAGTCCCATCTCAGGGTGGTAGGACTCAGGTCTCCGAAGTGGCTAAGAAAGAATTCAAAAGAGCTGTGTTTTGTCTCATGCTTTAATCTCTTAGTTTCTAATGCAATATCTGTGTTTTTGTTTTCCAGATTATGCCTTTCCCTACATTATATTAGTGTTATCCTTGGTGACTCTGGCTGTGTACATGTCTGCTTCAGAAATAGAGGTAGGAAATTGGTTTTTCTTTGTTATACAGTTTTAGGTTTTGTTTTTTCCTTTAAATAAATATTGATTATTAAATGGAATAGTGCATATGGTATGGTAAGGAATACTAAGTGGTTCAGTGGTCCTTGACTAAGTGATGTCACTTGTACCCACCTAGTTAATTTTATGAGATGTTGTGTGGGCTACATTGTATCCTTCCTTGGGAAATTAGGGAAGTAGTCAGTGCTCTTATCCAACAAGATGAAGAAAGTCATGTAATGTAATTTACCCATTTAGCAGACATGCAGTTATCAACACGTTAAAGTTCATTGATAACTATTTGAAAGACACACGGACATGTTTTAGTATACACAGAACTGATTTTAAATTGCATTTTACTAGAAATGTCCATAATTATTCATTCCACACCAGCTGCAGCTCCCTCTCAGTTTCATGCTTGATTTGGATGGTTTTGCCCTGCAGTATCTTTTTTTTGTTGTTGATTACATTGATACTAGCACTTTAGTTCTGATTGGCTCCTTGTGATAAGCCTTTTGTGCTTCTAATTTTTAGTATTTCAGTGGAAACCTGCTATAAAAATGCCTTACTCGGGGTTACTATTGTTGTGATGGAACACCATGACCAAAGCAACTTGAGGAGGAAAGGGTTTATTTGGCTTACACTTGCACATCACTGTTCATCATCAAAAGAAGTCAGGACAGGAACTCAAACAGGACAGGAACCTGGAGGCAGGAGCTGATGCAGAGGTCATGGAGGAGTGCTGCTTACTACTTGCTCCCCATGGCTTGCTCAGCCTACTTTCTTATAGAACTGAGGACCACCAGCCCAGGGATAGCACCATCACAGTGGGATGGGTTCACCCCCATCAATTTAAGAAAATGCCCCGCAGCTGGATCTTATGGAGGCATTTTCTCAATTGAGGTTCCCTCTTTTCAGATGACTCTAGCTTATGTCAAATTGACATAAAACTAGACAGGACAAACAAGGAACCTTAGTTTTAAAATTTTTACATTGTATACGTTGTTTTAATTTTGTTATAGTATATTTAAATTATTTCATTAAAACCTTTTATTTATGTGTCCAAAAGCCTCAGTGTATGTGTGGAGGGTGGTTCAGTTCTCTTCTTCTATACTGTAGGTCCTGGGTATCAAACTCAGGTTGTCGGGCTTGGTGGCAACTGCCTTTACCCACTGAACTATCTTGTTGGCCCTCTTATGTTTTCAATTCAGAGTATTTTTGGCCAAAAATGTGTATTTTGATTTGTTGGTAGGCAGGTTGTTATTGTAAAATAGAACAGCCTGCCATCACATTTTTAAATACTTTATTTTTAAGGAACTAAGGTATTGTCAGTTTACAGTATGAGCAATAAATAAGAACAAATCATATTTGACACTCTAACTAGGACAGATGTATTCATAAAAGTTTTAATCAATGTGAGCATTTTGTACATCTCTTGTAAATTTCTTTCCAATTGAGTGGCTTTTAGATTCTGATTTATCTTAAGACAGCACCTTTACATGATTTCCATTAAGTCACTTAACAGCTCTGATTACAAAGCTCTATCACAAACAGAACTCCCAAGAATTTAAAAGCCGAATTCATAGACCCTTCCATGCTGTGCTGTGCATCTGCTGCTCACAGCAGTTAATGTGTGCTTTCTCAAACTTCTGTATTGAAAAGGACACCAGAGAAAACAAGCTCTTTTGAGAGATGGTTGTTGGTGTCTCTTTTTCTAATACATGGTGACTTTGTGAGGTGAGGCCATATCTGGAACTTGTAGTGGCCTTAGGTAGAGATAATAATGTAGGAGTTGAACGGAATGATTTGATGATTATTCAGCTCGCCTACATTTTAGACTAGCCTCATTGCTCCTTTGTAATCTTTAATCAGCATTGCAATTGGATTAATCAGAGAAGACAGGAAATTAGTTTTGACTTTTCATCAACCAGGAAAAGATCAAGGTGGTGTTGGAATATTTGAATAAAATATGCATATTTATGTATGAGCAGTGCTTTGTTAGATCAGCTGGTAACTCCTTTGATTCTCTGTCTCCATATGTTTGCATCTTTCAGTTGGCTCTGTTCTCAGGAGTTGAGTATGGGGCTCTGAATCCAGAGAAAGACATGGCAGGTCTAGATGAGCCCATGAGTCATTTAACTGAAAGTTTAAGAGTAACCCACTGAAAATTCCCTATCATTGTGTTTATTAGCACATTTAGATGTTACTTTTATATTGATTTGACCCTTTGAGTTTATCCGTGTTATCACATGGCATTGAAGATGGAAAGAAAATCAGCTAATTTTAGTGAGTTACTTCTGTTGTCTTGAGTACATTCAAACAGCAGATACTGGAAACATTAGAGACATGAAGGTGACGTTTATGGGCTGCAGTGGACCTGGATGTGGAGAATATATGCTGTGGACTTGCTCTTGTGGTTCATGTCTTTCCAAAGAAGCTCATGTTCCCCAAGTGAATGCTGATGTAGACAGGACCAAGAGATGGGCTCCAGACTAAGTGACCATCTGGATAGTGTGGTGGCTAGACTGGGTGATTGGGGCAGTTCTTAAGTCCTTTTTAGCTCAAGCATTCGGAGTCCTGGGCCATGACTGTATGTGAAGACCAGTGGTCTAGTGGAGTTTCACTAACCTGTGTTTCTCTTTTTTTTTTTACCCCGTACATGGTCACACAGAACTGCTATGATCTCCTGGTCAGGAAGAAAAGACTCATTGTCCTCTTCAGCCACTGGCTGCTCCATGCCTATGGGATAGTCTCCATCTCCAGAGCAGACAGGCTTGAACATGACCTGCCGCTTTTGGCTTTGGTACCTACACCAGCTCTGTTCTACTTGTTCACTGCAAAATTTACTGAACCATCACGGATACTCTCAGAAGGGGCCAATGGACACTGAATATAAAATACCAAAAAGAAAAAAAAACCCACAAAAAACCAAAAAACCCTAAAAAGTATTCTTAATAAAAGAAAGTGAAGAAGAAATTAAAATGCATTCTGTGATACATGGGAACAAGATGGTCTGGATATCTTAATGCTTGTTTTTTTATCTTTTGATTTAATGGACCTTGTGGTCAGACTTGGAAATTGCACAGCATCACGGTAGTATCTGTCATACTGGAAGCCCGAACATCCATGTTTCTGTGCACCTGCGAGAGTGGGTGTTCCCTAGATTTTTGTGAATACCTTTTATCAAGTATATTCAGAACACCTTTGCTGTGGCCTGGTTACTCCTGCTTGTGAGCTGTGCATTTAGCTTTCACCTATAAGGAAGTACAAAGGCAAATGTACTTGTGGGGTATGAGGGCAACTACAGGAGCAAAGATGTCTTTGTCAATGTCTATTTATTTTCACCAATACAGTATTTTAGTAATATTACAAAATAAAGCATAATTTATACAATGAGCTTTTTGTTTATAGACAGTTTGGTTGAAGACCTGTCCAGATGACTGTTCCTGTAAAGAGGAAAACAATAAAGAGTTTAATTGTAAAATAACTCCATGTTCTGACAATTGAGTCTTTTTTGCCACAGTGATTATGGAAGTAATTAAAAGTGTTAAATATTAAGTTTAATATCTCTGTTGTCTACTGAATAAATACACATACTCCCATCCTCTCTTAAAACAAAATTCTTATTTTTTAAAACAAAATTCTTATTTTTTAAAACAAAATTCACATGACCCATTTTATTGATTCAGAGACCTTTTCCAGGTCGTGACATTTCTGAGTCAGGATCTTGTAACTAGAAGTATCTGAGATAGAATGAAATACAGGAATATATAGGCGGTTCCCTTGTTCCCCTGTGGCTGGTTTTGATAGGTTAGCTGTGGTGTTCAGACTCACATCACAGCCACGGACACAAATAAAAATGTTAACACTTAGTCTAATAATCTGGCCATGAGTATATATGTGTAGTTTTTGAAAGGTTATTCACTGGTTCTGCTCCAAGGCAACTTTGACGACTTATGTTAATGCTACAAAATATGAATACAGGTGCACTTACATTGCCTGGGGTTCTCTGGAGTTCTCTAGGTTTTTTCCTTAAGGTTGTTTCCTCTAGGTTGTTTGCTGTTCCCGGTTAAGGCGTTTCTCCTAGCCTTAATGGCCGAAGCAAAATGGATCTTCTTTTTACCCTTTTTCTGGTCTATAAGAAAAAAATTTTAAATTCTATTTGTATCTTACATAGGTTTTGTGGTTATTAATGTCTACTAAAACTCTGAGTTTTCCAAGAATCCTTAAGTGGCTAATTATGTAGTCCATACCCAAGAGGTGATGAGTCAAATTACCAGTGCCACCTCTGGGCCCATTGCATTCAAAACTGTTTTTAGCTGTTACCTCCCTGTGTACCATTCTAGCAAAAAAGTATGTGCAAAAGGAGGACTCATTTAAAAAAAAAAAAAAGTTACAATTCTCCAAAGGCAGAGATTGGCAGGGATACTTAATATCTGCATTTTACAATCTGCTCTCGTAGAAACAAGGTATCATAGCCACTTTGGTTGCTCATGTTTAGTAAATAGTTTGGTAAAATGTGTTTATTAAAAATGCGCAAAATAGCTCTTATCCTGGCTCTCCACCCAATGCCACATTGTAGTTTTTACTGCTTTGCTACAAAATAGCCCTTACCCTAGCCCGGGTTTCTTGTTGATTGAGGTCTGGGCTGCATTGTAGTTTTCACTGCTTTAGACTGTAGTAATTATTTTGCTAGTCAGACTCCAATCATTTGAAAGGCAGGTTTTTTTTTTTCTTAATTTGAGTTTATTAGTAAGTTTAACAACATGTTTATCTAAAACGATCAGTTTGTAAGACTTGACTGCTCAATGGAGCCATGTAGAGATTTAAAAACCAATATGGCTGACTTCAACCCTGGGCACTCACATTGAACTGGTAAGGATGCAGCCTCAAGGTGAATTTACTCTTCAATCCTCCTTGTGTAATGTTTGAGAACTGCTGACCAGGCTGGCCTTGAATTCCCAGAGATCCACCTTCCTCTGCTTCCTAAGTGCTGGCATTAAAGGCGTGTGCCACCACCACCTTTGGATTTGGAATTTTAACTGAACAGATAGTTCTCAAAAGACATACAAAGGGCCGAGAAGTTTTTTTTAAAGTGTTCAGTATCCTTCACTTCCAAGGAAATGTGAAACAAAACTACTTTGAGATCTATTCCATCTTACCCCGTCAGAATGGCTGTCACCAAGAAGACAAATGACAATTGCTGACAAGGCTGTGGGGAAAGGGGAACTCTCATCGGCTGTTGGCTGGAGTGGAAACTGGTACAGCCATGATGAAAATCAGTGTGAAAATTTCTCCAGAAAATAGAAATAAAACTAGCATATGACTCAGCTATACCGTTCCACATCCTACCACAGAAATATGTGTATACCTGCAATTATTGCTTCTGTATTCACCATAGCAAAGACATGGAATCAGCCTAGATGTTTATCTACAGATGGATAATAAAAGTGTGCTATGTGTATACAGTGGGATTTTATTCTACCATAAAGAAAAAATAAATTACCAAATTTGTAGGAAAATGAGTGGAAGTGGAAATATTAAGCAAGGCTTGAAAAGTTAAATATGATGTTATCTCATAGATACAGATCCCAGGCTTTTGACCTTTATAAACATGTTTTAATGGGGGGGGGGCGGGGGAGGGTGAACAGCTGACAGGGAACTAGAAAGGGGCCCATGATGGGCGGGGAAAGGCTGCAAGGGAGGGACATGGGAGGGAAAGGAAACACATAAAACGAAGGCAGAAATGATTACAAGGCATGGGGGAGGGGTCTTGGAGATGGGTAAGAGGGGTGTATGGGTAGGGAGGTTTGGCCAAAACTAGTAATGTATTGAAATGGGAGCATGTTTGCTGGTATAAAGATAGAAATAAATATAAAGAATGAAAATAAATCAAGTTTAAATATACTCACAATCCCTGACTTGTAATTAAAGAAAGATAATGAAATTTTCTTTAAAAAGTTGTAATCTGTCTTTCTCGTGTGTGTGTGTGTGTGTGTGTGTGTGTGTATCTGTAAGGGCACATTGGGGGCAGTGGGTATCACACATATGTCACAATGCACGTGGAGTTCAGAGGACGACATGGAGGAGTCTACATAGGCCTGGGGAATCCATCTCAGGGTGTCAGGCTTGATGGCAAAGGACCTTTACCTACTGCTCCATCTCTTTGGCCCAAAACGTTTTGAATAATTTAAAAGTAATCTGTATCGTTACTGTTTGGGTTGTGGTATATGTCATTACTTGGTTTGCTTGTAAAACAGTAAAGGTAAAAGTTAATTGATCACAGTGTGCAGGTGAATTCTAGCACTCTGATATCCCCCTACTCATCCTTCTCTCCAGTTAGCGAGCCCACTGATGTTCCACAGCCTGGCTACTTGGGGTCCTTGGCCAGCTCATGTCTGCGCCTGTCCCTGACGTTCCTGTGTGCTCTCAGCATCCAATAAGAGAGCTTTACCTCCGTGAAGACTAGAAGCAATCCACTAATTCTAACCTTCATTCTCTTGCCCCAGGGGTACTCCTTAGAATAATGGAGCTAGTGTAATGGGTGTGGAGGAGGGCCGGACCTGAAGGGTTGTAATGACATATTATGTCCAAGAGTGGGCAGCAGAGGGCTGCTGTCCCGGCAGCAGTCCAGGGATTCTGGAGACCAGCAGGCAATTCAGAGTTGGAGACTATGGGTTGCTGTGAGATGGTGGCGTAATTGGAGGGCCAAACGGTACTTACATCCCTGGAACGGTGGGAGATTCTAGAGACCCGATGAACACTCAGTCCTTGTTTAATATTGTATAACTCCCGTTTGCTGTCGCTCATATTTTACGATTGGGGAGTGTGAAGAAGGGGGTGAAGCAGCAGAGCCCACCTGGCTTCAAAGCTCACATTCTACTCCGTGCCCAGGGAGCAGAGATAGGCAGCGCTATGGCAAGCCAGCAATCTGCTCTCAGATCTATCTCGGCTCAACTTCAGAGCCTCTGGCTCTTGATTCCTCAACCCAGCAGTCTCTTAGACAAACCCACACTTCTTATGACCCACTTTTGGCATACACAGGAATTAATATGCATGCATTTTCAATGGCTCCGGATTCTCTTCCTACTGTATCAGCAGTGGGCAAGTTTCAATCTAATTCTATGATAGCAGGCAGAACTGCAAAAGAAATTTCAGGACTGGCAGTGCCAAAAATACTATCTGACCCCTGATAGAGGAGGAGCTGCCAAGCTCTATACCGGGACTGTGAATCTTATTTGAGCAGGGCGTGTTGTATTCGCTGCAGTTACCCAGGTATCTTAGAGCTTGAGCAGGAGAGATGGTTAATAAATGCTTGCTGACCGCAACGTTTCATTGGCTCTAAAATAGTATAGCTCACTATTTTTGTTCTTGTTTTGTTTTAAGGATTTATTTGTTTTTACTTTGTGTGCACAGGTGTTTGCCCGCATGTTTGTATGTGCACCACATGCGTGCCTGGTGCCCAAGGAAGGCGTGTGTCCCCTGGAGCTGGAGTTATAGACGGCTGGGAGCTGTCGTGTGCTAAGAACCAAAACGTGGGGCAGCTGCAAAAGCAGCAAGAGCTTTTACCCGTGATGTTTCTCCAGCCCCAAGCACTGAGCTTTAAGTCACAGTTTTGTCACTCACTGTTCCACTGACTTTTGAAAACTATCTAATAAGCATATTCTTCCATAGTATCCTTTTCATTTGTAATGAAAATGCAATTTTCATTTTAGTTCATTATAGATGTTCGCCATGGTGTGTCCTAGAAACAAAATCTGTCTTCATTTTCCCTGTGTCTCAACCAGTGTGCCCTTAGGCTTTGCCAAAAGAGCCCCTCGCATGATTAGACAAGAGCATGCCAATGTCAACATGCTAATTCTAAATGTTTTCTCTATGAAGTTAGGTGGTCAATGTTCTAGACTTGGAGGATCGCCTGGCCCGTGTCACCATCACTCTGTGATTTGTAGCTTAAAAGCGCAGATATATGTACTATCTGAATGAACATGATTATGCTTCTATAGGATCATAGAGGCACGGGAATGGAACTCATATGAGGCAATAGTATGAAATGCTATTGTTCTTTTGAGTTTTCCCAGTTATCTAAAAGTATAGAACACTGTGTGGTGGCTCATGCCTGTAATCCTAGCACTCAGGAAGTTGAGGCAGGAGGCTCCTGAGTTCACTACAGCACCAGAATCCGCAGTAAGATCCTGTCGTCTCAAAGATGAATTACCCAGGCTTTGTTTTTAATCGTGAAGAAGATTCAAGACTAGTTCTCTTGAAAATTATCCCATGCGAAAGGAAGAACTAAAGCGTTCTAACAAACTCAACCCAAAGTGAGTACCTGTGTTCGGTGGGGATATTCACAGCAGCAAGCACTGTCCTTCCCCTTCCCCTTTCCCCTAGTGGCCAGTCCCTGAGGAGCCCCTTATTTTGATGTCACTAGCAGCAGGAAGTTCTACATTACCGGACGTTTCCAGGTACTGAATATGAAGATGTTCCGAGTTTGATTCCTCCACCACAAGAAGACGCAGCCTTTCGATGCTACCCAGCAGCCAGGCACTAATAGCCTCGATTTTCTCGTCCCGGTATTGCAGCTTCTCTATGAGACTCGTCATGTCTTGCAAGATATCTTCTCCATTGTTCACCATTTCCTTCAAGGAACAGAGTTTGGGGTATGTGAATATGATTGCAACAAGATAACATTCTGAGCAGATTCTTTGCAAAATAATGTCATGTATGAACAATTGTTACTAGGTACACAAAGTAACTCTTAGGACTGTATGGAGGCTAGATTCAAAGCAGCCTGTCTGGTTCCTGCCTACCTATAGGAGGAGGGGAAGGGAAGAAGGAAGGTGCTGGGTAGCTGGTACATATAGAGCGAGCCTAGAGCTGTCGGCACAGACTTACAAACAGATGTGTTGTATGTGTAATTGAAAAGAGTGAAAGAGAACAGAAGGAAAGGAAAGAAGTAGGGAGAGAGGGAGGGACAAAGAGAGACAGGGAGGGAAGGACTGCCCATGTTGACGACTGGTAGTATTAGAAGATAGTTTCTGAAAGGATTAAGATTTGGTAGTGACATTGGCACAGTGGGTGTGATGGTGGCACCACCCTGTCATCCTTCTGTAGGCTCACAATTCTGTCCATGCATACATGAGTACATACCAGTATATGCACATGTGAGCACACGTGAGCACACACAGAGACATGAACATGTACACACACACACACACACACACACACACACACACACACACTTAATAACATGATACACGAGACGATGCAAGAAGAACCCTCACCTTAATTGTCGTCTGAAATTTTGCCAGGAAATCTCCATAGTGTTCTGAAATATTTAAAATACAATGGTTACTAAAATGATATTATTAATTAAAGGTTTAAAATTATTTTTATCTAAAAGTTTTTACTTCCAGAATGATGGGGAAAGGGGGAGAGAAGAGGGGGAAGAAGGAGGAGGAGGAGGAGAAGGAGAAGAAGAAGAGAAGAAGAAGAAAGAAGGAAAGAAAGAAAGAAAGAAAGAAAGAAAGAAAGAAGAAAAGTTCCACTTTTGCTTGACCTCATGGCAAAAAGTTAATATGAAACCCTAAGTTAAACCTCAGACTGAAAGAAAACTAAATTCCAGAATATATGAAGACTTTAGCTTGATGATAAGAACACTAAAAACCCAAGGTATGGAGTGAAAAGCTTTGAGTAGACATGTAATGGATCACAACTTCTACACTGCACCTGCTTGTACAAGCCTCTTGCATCTCAGAGCTCAGAGCTGGCATCCTCCCCTTGTTCTAGAGTAGTTACTTTAACCCGAGAGTCATGCGGGACTAATCCTCTGACTTCCAAGGCTAGGCCATGACAATACCACAAGCTTCCACTCCATTCTCCTGGGATACCTTTCTTGGAGACCAGCAGTTATGTGCCGAGACCATGTGGAGGTGCTCTGGCCAACAGATTCTCCAAGGCCCATTTGAGAGCCATAACAACTTCAAGCATAGGCACCGGTCTTTGGATAGTTCCAGACCCCAGATGCTGATTGTCCACAGCTTAGACAGGTTGTCTCTGAGCTCTGATCACATCACCAATTTGTGAGCAAAGTAAATTCTTTGCCTTAAGGTCCTAACTTTGTGATATTTGTTGGGTTTTTATTTGTTTTTTTATAAAAGATTATTTTTATTATTTTTATTTATGTGTGTATGCATGAGTGAAAGTCACACATGTGTTCAGGTGCCCAAGGAGGCCAGGAGAGAGCATTGGATCCCTTGCAGCTGGAGTTATAGCTAATATGGGTGCTAGGATCTGAACTCTGGTCCTCCGAAAGAGCATCAAGGGCTCTTTGGTATTTGTTATGCCAAAATAGTTCATTGGTTCTAGATGGTTCAAAAAAGATGATTTCAGACAGCCAAGAACCACATAAACTAATGACGATTGCAGGGAAAGGCAGATAAAAACCACAATGACATAACATTCTATGTTAATGCTTTTAATGTCCTCAAATTTCTAAGTATTGGTGAAGAGCTAGTGCAACAGGGCCTTTTTCATGTCACTATTTGTATGAGACCTTTAAACAACAATGTTGGCAAACTAGCAGTTTCTTCAAAAGTATTCAGACAACAACAGTGCAACCCAGCTATTCCACTCATAAGTGTCACCTAAGAAATAACTAAATAAATAAAATCCAGAAACATACTTCCAGACAAATGTCACTAGTTGCTTCACTTATGATAAATGAAGAACAAGGCAAATGTCCCTCAGCTGGTGTATGTGGTTTGAATGTCGTTGGCCCCCATAAGCTCATAGGGAGTGGCATTATTAGGAGGTGTGGCTTTGTTGGAGGAGGTGTGGTTTTGTTGGAGGAAGTGTGTCACTGTGGGGGTAGGCTCTGAGTTTCATTTATGTTGAAGCCATGCCCAGTGTCTCAGACCACTTCCTGCTGCCTGCAGATCACCAACTCTCAGCTCCTTCTCCAGCACCATGTTGGCCTGCACGCTGCCAAGCCTCCTGCCATGATGATAATGGACTCCACCTCGGAACTGTAAGCCACCCCTATGAAATGTTTTCATTTATTAGAGTTGCCATGGTCATGGTGTCTCTTCACAGCTGGTGAAGAGAAGAAGGATGGAGAGCTGATAGTAGTGCACTGTGCCAAGGGGAGGCAGCTTGTGGCTCGAGAAAGAACCGAGATGAATCTTTTGTATTTTGTGGTTGTTTTGAGACAGGTTAAAACTCTAGTCCAGGCTGACATGGAACTTACTATGTAGCCCAGGCTGGTCTTTAACCCACACCAACTCCTCTGTTTCAGCTTTCTAAGTGTTGGGATAACAGGTGTGAGCCCTCACCCAACCATTTTTTACTTTGTCACACACACACACACACACACACACACACACACACACACACACGGCTTCATGGACAAATCTTAAAAATCCATTTTGCAGAGGCAAAGAAGCCAGGATGCAGACGTGTGTACATGCTGTGTCCTTTCCTTTTGTTAACTGTTGGGTTAGAAGGCAGGTTGGTGGCGTCCGGAGACTGGAGGTGGGATGAAAGATTAGCTGGAAGGGACAGGCGGCAGCAGTCGTTTTTTTTTTTTTTTTTTTTTTTTTTTTTTTTGTAACCAAAAGGAATACCTGACAGAAAGAACTTAAGGAAGGAGGCTATTTGGGCCTCTAGTTTCAGAGGGTCTTCATTCACTGTGGCACAATAGAGCAGCTGTCTGTGCTGATAGTACTGTGTGGTGGAGAGTCCATGGTTATTGATTGGTAGCTCGGGAAACAGAAAATACAGGCTGGACTCAGGAACCATTATAACCCTGAAAGGCCTGTTCCTAAAGACCTACTCCCGTCAGCCAGGCCTCGCCCTGCAAAGATCTCACAGCCTTCCTGATAGCTCCACAACTCAAACCAGGAGCCGGGGAAGGGCATTTCATATTCACATCATGACACGATACACAATGATGAACATGCTCTACACTGCTGTGGTGGCAGTGACTGCCAGAGTGCATAAATTCCTCAAAATTCACTGAATTTTAAAATGGATGTGTTTTATTGACATGCAAATCAATAAAAACTAATTTAAACAAGAACCAAGAGTGATGCGTTACTTACTGTGCTGAGCTATCAGTTGCCAAGACAGGTCACTTGAGTTCTCCACGGTTTTGTGTTGCTTTTCTCTGTACATCTGGATTTGTTTCTTCAGGTACTCAAGAAACTGAGAGGGAAAGGAACATTTTGAGTTAGTGAAGTGTCCATGCGGCCATTCATGCCACAAGTATCGATGCTTCACGATGCCCCTGACTGTCCCTCGGCATCTTCCTCCATTCAAGCGAGAAGACAGAGGGTCCCGTTTTCCTACTATTTCAGCAGCCAAAGAAATTAACATGGTGCACTGAATAAGGCTGGACATGGTAAGAAGTTAAAAGACCAAATGCTTCATATCCACAAGAAAAAGGCTCCTTTTGTAAAATACAGCAATCGAAATTCTCAGTCCTTTTAGTAAATGTTAGATGTTGTGTCTGCAGGAGGAGAGGTGAGCAGGGCACTTCAACAGGTGGATAAAATTCCTCCCCAGTCTGTGTCAAAGGCTGGCTGCAGCACGTTGTGTTGAGTACATGAGGGTTACTGAGGAACCAAAATTTTTCACAGCACACACATCCTTCTGAAAAACATCAGTCCTTAAGCTGCTTTAGCTCTACTAGACAAAGCATGTGAACTTGGTGGGATAACTCTTGACATTTAACAGACAGAAATAAATCACATAGAGCCATGAAGGGATTTCCTTAATGCCATCAGGCATTAAGTGGCCAGGCTACTTCCCTCATCAGGCTCCCACTGAAGGAATGGTTTTTTATTCTTCTCTAGCTAAAAATAGTTCTTGAAACAAACAAACAAACAAACAAACAAACATAGAGTCTTTTCTTGTCTAAAAACTACATAATGGGGTTGGAGAGATGGCTCAGAGGTTAAGAGCACTGACTGCTCTTCCAGAGGTCCTGAGTTCAATTCCCAGCAACCACATAGTGGCTCACAACCATCTATAATGAGATCTGGTGCCCGCTTCCAGCCTGCAGGCATATATGCAGGCAGAACATTGTGTACATAATAAATAAAATCTTTTTTTATAAAGTACATAATGTACTACCTGACCTTTGAAATTATTATGAGCGTTGAACGGAACCAAGTCCCACGACTCTTGGGACATTGATGTAGACCCTAACTTTGAGGTTGTTACAGTTTAGTGGGGGAGAAATGTTTACAAAGAAGCAGTATTCACCCTGTGAGACACTAAGGACAGTGTCTCCAATGAGTGACAGACTCTACCTCATGTCTTTCAAACAAAGGAATATTGTATAAACCTCTGTGATAACTGTCTTATAACAGTTATGAAATATAGAAAGTATAATTATTCATGTATCATTAAAAACTGTTATTGAACATACCATGTTAAAATTAAAATAAGTAAATCTTAAGTATAAATAGGCAAGCCTTACTCTTTTGAGATATAGGCCTGAAATTAATGTTCATAAATTGAGATTGTTTCTTTTGGGGTTAGATGAACAGACTTATTTGCTGTATAATTATCAGTTACTATGATACAACTTATTTTTTAGCTAGGCAAAGGAAACTTGAACATGAATTTTACGAATTAAGATATCTGAGTGCCCAACAACACACCAGCAGGTGTTTCTTTACTTGTCAAAGAGACTCAGATCTGCGGGACACCAGGGCACACACACCGGAAGAGCAGAACTGGAAAGAGACAGTTGGATGAAAATATCCCTTGATGCCAAAGAGACTAACCTTTCCCCAGGCCTATCCACCATGGGAATACTATGCCTCGAGACCATTTAAAACTATGTTCTCTTCTATGCAATCCAGGATGTACAGTGAAAAACAAAAAACAAAAACTATGTTCTCAACCTGATGTCCTACTGTGTGCTCAGCCTGTTTAAGTTTAACCTGTATTCAAGAGAACAATGCAACCAACTTTGCTGTGCCTTGGACTTGCCAGCAATGAAATTTTGTAACCCAAGGTAAATTCATAGCTCTGATTTTAAAGTTATGAACTCTTCCATGCCCTTGACCTAGAATAATATGTGTGTGTGTGTGTGTGTGTGTGTGTGCGTGTGTGTGTGTGTGTGTGTTGTGGTGATTGTTTTCAGAAAACAAGTTTAAAGCAGCCTTAAACCAAATAAATATCCCATAAATGTTGGAATCAGCATGTGGATATAGGTTGCTGATATCTGTTTGAGGTATTTACTGCTATTCTGGGTCAGTTGGGGTCAGTAAAACAACTTGTAAAATTTTGTTAAAGATTTCTGTAAAGGATCCTTCATCTCTGTCCCCATACAATGTTTTCTGTGTTATTCAATAAATATAGAGCAAGCTTTAGAGCAAGCTTTTTGTTAAGGATGGGCACAACCAGAGACCAGATAAAAACACAGGAGACAGGCAAGAGCACACACACACTAGACTAGCTAGAGACAAGCTACAGACAGTTGGAAGATAAGATATGGGCAGAAAAGTGGAAAAATCCAAAATTGGGCTTGCTCTTGATCAAACTAATTCAAGAGGAAATCCGTGTTATTATTCCTTAACGCGACACTGACACAGGTGAGGTTGTGAATTTCAGGGCTCTCACACTTTGCTGGTGTGAGGGGTGTTGTAATTTTAAAAAATGGTGTGTATGAGAAAGATGCCATGTGACAGAGCTTGGGTGGAGGGCTTTTTTTTTTTTAATTAGGAGAAAGTGAATGGGAAAGGGGAAGGGAGAGGGAAGACCAGTGGGGGTCAGGAGTGACAGAAGAGAAAAGAGAGGCAGAAAGAGAGGGGAGGGGGAGGGAGAGAGAGGCAAAGAAGCAGAAGAGAGAGAAGATGAAAGGAGGGCAGGGCCCTTTTAAAAGGGAACATAGTGAATGTGCACAGGTGGTGCTCTTAGCAGCTGCAGCTGAGGATGTGTCCTGTCAGAACCCCAAGGATAGGCCGGTACAGAAGCCTGAATGCTTTGGGAGCCTGGCACTCTTCAGGACTGCAGAAGGTGCACCTACTGATACTTTGCAGTTTTAGTTGGGATCTATAGCCAACAGAAATATATCTATCAGAACAGTTATACTTGAATGGGCTTAGGAGCAGGGCTGGTAATAGCCAAAAGAAATTCCCCCCCAACAATAGCACTGTCTAAATAAATACTAGTCATATGATGGGATATACAGAATAGAGAATAATGAATTACACTCAGTGAGGATCAACCTCAGAGACAGGAGGCTGAACAAACTCGTGGATGCAGCATTGCTCTTCACATGTAATGCTTGCATCCTGACAAAACCAGTCTCTGGAATTACAAGTTGATGGTATTCTTGTGGGGAGAGGTGTGGGTGACTGGAGAGATTGAGAAGACTGGAACCTTCTAAAGCTTATTGCTGGTTCAGGCACTCAATCGAAATCATTAGCCAAAGTGAAGTGATCTTGAACTTACTTCTTTTAATTTTTTATTTTCCAGGATGAGAAGGGATGCCTTTTGGTCATGCACATAGATGTCGTTTTCCAAGTTCTTTAGAAATTCAAAATGCTCTTCAAGTTTTTTACTTTCAACCTTTCGTAAGTGTTGTAGTTCACTCTTCACCGAGTCCTGTCCAAACATAAAAGCTACGGTTATCTCCTAGGGATCAAAGGGCAGGGCACCAGCATTAGGCTGCCTAGGTCACCCATTTGTGCATTCACCCCTGAGCTGTCCAGCTGACCATGGCAATCTTGCAGTAGAAAATCCCCAAAGCTGCATGGTAAAAACTTATTTGTGGACTCTGGTAAGGTCGTGCATGAACCTTAAGTGAAGTTTCCTAGACACCAACAAAACTTCACAAATTAGGATATGCTTTGATATTTGAATAACTGCCTGTCTAAAATGGGGAGCGGGAGAGGGGTTCACTGAGATTTTTAAGGAAAATTGACTGTACCTAGAAGGGGGAGGTATTTCCTATGGTTATTCATTGATCTGCTCATTCATTCACCTACTGTTCATTTGCTTTTGAGACAAGGTGTCAAGTATCCCAGGCTGGCTTCAGGACTCTGGAGCCTAGGATGACCCTGAACCTCTAATATTCCTGTCTCCACCTCCCCAGTGCTAGCATTATGATTGTGGTCCACCAAGATCAGTCTACGCAGGGTTGAGGGCTGAATCTGGGATCTCACCCATTTCAGGCAAACACTCTTTCAATGGATCTTTATCGTCAATCCTGATCCTTTTTAAAAAAAAATTATTTGTTGAATAGTTAGTTTTTCTTACAGAATTCTCTATGCAGTTCCTAGTTATTATAGCATTATAAACCTCATGGTCTTTATCCATTGTATTCCTCACCTGGAACATCTTATTAGAAAAAAGGATGAAAAAAGGATCTCTCTCTCCTCTCTCTCCTCTCCCCCCCCCTCTCTCTCTCTCTCTCTGTGTGTGTGTGTGGGCGCGTGCACGCCTGTGTCGTCTGTACGTGCATGTGCCTTATACTTCTCTGTTGTCTTCGTCCATATTTCTTCTTGCCCACAGCATATCAAAAATCGCATTTGAGGCCAGCAGTGGTGGCGCATGCCTTTAAGCCCAGCACTTGGGAGGCAGAGACAGGTGGATCTCTGTGAGTTCGAGGCCAGCCTGCTCTACAGAGTGAGTTCCAGGACAATGTTACAAAGAAAAACCCTGTCTCAAAACCAAAATAAATAAATAAATGATCACATTTGATAGCCAGATATATCAAAGAATAGGATAATTCCATGCTCAATTAACCAACTGCATGCAAATAACTTATAATGAAGTTACAGATTGTGTATTTTGAAGGATAGTAAACATTTCTTTGCTTGCTCCTGTTCTATCTGCCACGACCTCTGCCTACTCAGTCTCAAAGAGCGTGACCAGTGCAATCCCCACCCTCTTAGAGAGAGGTTAGGTCTCCTCACCGGTCAACGTTGTTTTTCTACCATTATACTTGGGCTGCTTCCAGAGTCCCCCACCTTCTCAATCATGTGTTAATCTGAGGGAACTGAGAGCTATCACACCTAGAAGATATGCAAAGCTCACTTCTGGGTGTTTCTCTGAGGGCGTTTCAGATATGATTAGATCACCAGGACTCTCACTTAACAGATTTAGTGCATTGGCGGGCCCGAGTTTTGTACAGAGTATTTGGAGATGAGGGCATTGGGGACCTTGAAGCTGGGTGGAGGAACTGGATTTCTGGGTGTGTTTTTGAATGAGTTAGCTTGGTCCCAGCGCCTTCTTCCCATTACTCCTCTCTGCGCCCCCTGCTGGCCACGAGGTAAAAGGCTTTCCTCAACCATGTCCTTCCTTGCTGGAAACTCAGAAACTAGAGGAGCCAGCCAATCAGAGACGGCTGAGATCAAATACCCCTTCCCTCCATTAAGTTGGTTTTCTCAGGTGCATATATCTCACAGTAGTGCCAAACTTCCCCCATATGTATATATTGACTACGGTTTTAAACATGTTGGTAGGATAAGATTAATAAGTCAATTTCATGAAAACTGAATAAATAGTGTTGCTTGAATACACCAGCATTGTAAATTTTAAAGAAGGAAAAGGTGGGGGGCTCTGAGTGGTAGCATGCTTTTATCCGGGCACTGTGGAGGCTAAGGTAGGAGATTCATTAGTTTACTTCCAGGACTGACTACACAGAAAGAAAAAAGAAAGAAAGGAAGGAAGGAAGGAAGGAAGGAAGGAAGGAAGGAAGGAAGGAAGGAAGGAAGGAAGGAAGGAAGGAAGGAACCATGTCTAAGAAAACCAAGCCCCAAGGCTTGGTTCTAGTTCTGGCAGTACAGCACTTGCCTAGCATATAAAAGCCTGGATTTCAATCTCTGACACTGCAAGTAGCACAAAATAAAATTCCAAGTCAAATGAACCACAGCGATTATGATTATTTACCATGTTCTCCTCATATCTGGTGATATCCTTTCTAAAGCGGAAAATGTAGTTGTTCAATAACCTCACCTCTTGCTTCTTTGCTATTTAAAAAGAGAGAAAATAACTGTCCACAAAGTTATTTGGTTTAAAAAAATTAACCAATATAAGACATGCACACTTTTAACAGTTACACTATGATCAACTATTACCACAATAAAAAGGCAGCTAATAGCTGGGCGGTGGTGGCACATGCCTTCAATTCCCAGCACTTGGGAGGCAGAGGCAGGTGGATCTCTGTGAGTTCAAGACCAGCCTGGTCTACAAGAGCTATTTCCAGGACAGACTCCAAAGCTACACAGAGAAAACCTTTCTCAACACCCCCCCCCAAGGCAGATAACTGCTCCCCAGTGCATTTACCCTGTGTCTGGTTCCTCAGAATCAACCATGTTATCAGTTTGTTTCTTTTAGCTTTGTTTTATTTATGTATGTGTGTGAGAGACAGAGGGTATATGCACACATGTGCACTCAAAGGTATATAGAGGCCAGAAGATGGCATCAGAGTTGAGTTTCTGGAGTGTGAGGGATGCCTGGCTTATTTCATAGGCACCACGAACTGAACTCTGGTCCTCATGACTGTGGATTAAGTGCCCTTAAAAACCAAGCCATCTCTCCAGACCCCTTAGCCATATTTTAAGAAAAATCCCTTTAGCTGTGTCTTCCACTTAGCTCACTTTTCTTAAATTATATGCTCATAAGGCTGTGATTATTTTTTAAGACATTTTCTACTTTGTACTAAGAGGAGGAGTGGAAAGACTGGGGAGAAGGAAGTATCTATGAACCCGGGTAAAAGCATCAAGTGGAAGCCTTCCTGACTTGATCAGATGAAAATCTGACAAGAAATAGAGTATCAGCTCAGAAGTGGCAGACAGACTGACTGTCAATGCTGTTAGCATTATATTTATATATTCCTGCGAGTTTAACGTCTTGGAAATAATCACTATTCATTTTTAAACATTTATTTGCTTTACAATTTAACTGATACAAGCTGTGTTAATCTATATCTTTATGACTATCTGCTAGCTGCTCACTCCCACTCCTACCCCAGAAGGTTGTTCTTTTCCTGTCCCCATCCTGGTCCTTTCTTTTACTCTGGGTTCTGGCCTTCTGATTCCCACAGTTCTTCCATCATCTGGAAGACATGGCATCAGGAAGTGGTAGCTGCTTAAAGACCTGTGGAGAGGTCCTGGATAATGGCTGGCCCTCCTCTCCCAGAATGAAGGAAAGGCTAGGACATTCTGGACTCTAGGTGCAGGGTTAGGCAACCACATCTAATTTTTGTGTCAGAAACAATTGTTTGTATTTGACCACACATGGTTTTATGCACACATTGTGCAATACGTTGTGCTGTGTGATGGAATGCAAAAGACACAAGCTTTACAGACATGGTTCATAGCTCTGAAAGCACCATCTGTGATAAGTCTTATTTATCTTTGCCTTAGGAACAGGTGGGTGGGGGCAGATATCAACACGGAGGAAGGAGGGAGAGAGAAGGGAGGGGAGGGAGGGAGGAGGAAGGGAAGAGGGAGGACGAACTGAGTGGGAGAAAGAACTTGGTGTGGAAAAGGGAATGGTAGATAAACAGGCTAGAAAGTGGAGTTAATGAGATAGGCAAATCAGATGCGCTTCTCCTTGGGTGTGTGATGGATTCTCACACCACCCATCCCCCGTTTTTGTTTTTGTTTTTGTTTTGGTTTTGGTTTTGGTTTTTCGAGATAGGGTTTCTCTGTGGCTTTGGAGCCTGTCCTAGAACTTTCTCTGTAGACCAGGCTGGTCTCGAACTCACAGAGATCCGCCTGCCTCTGCCTCCCGTGTGCTGGGACTAAAGGCATGTGCCACCAACACCCGGCTTTGGATTCTCACCCACTTTGTGCTGGGAGGGGGTTGAGAGGTAGTTACCAGTGCTTCATGCACACCTGAAATATCATTGATGAGGTCCTTGAGGTCCCTGTTATTTTCGGTGAACTGCTCTTCTGCTGTTTGAAGCTGTGGGAGGCTGTCCACTAGTTGCTCTTCTCTTTCTTTGTTCGTCTGTGTTTCCTTCTTAATCAGAACCTGTAAGAGAGTAAAGCTGATTGATCAAAGCAGTTTGGACACGTTACACAGCTTAGAGTTAAAGTTCTCCAAGGGGAAGAGTCCTGTCTTCCATAGGGCAGGGGTTGCTGAGAGAGGTACCTGGCACGCACTCTGTGTTTGATAAATAGGTGCTGCCTGTTCACTCACCCTGGAGAGCTACAAAGATGCTGTCAGTTAAGAGTCTCTGGCTGTCCCCATTCCTACTATCTACGCAACCAAAACACGCTTGAGAAAAACTGCCTTTGGTGTATCATGTTCTATACAAAGGGGCAACGAAATAGAACATGAGTGTTCCAAGAAATGTGAACAGTATAGAAACAACTGGAATATAAAGGAATAAATGGAAAAGGCACACTGAGGAAAAGCATGAAGATATCTGTTTGTTTAAATTGTCCTGGTTGGTTTTTGTCCACTTGACACTGGCTAGGATCACTTGGGAAGAGAGAAACTCAGTTGAAGACATGAGCCCACTTGATTGGCCTGTGGGGTATTTTCTTGAATGATGACTGGCGTGGGAGGGCTCAGCCTGCTAAGTGTTTATGTGCCAGGGTGGTGGTATCCCTGGGTAGGTGGCCTGTAGAAGAAAGCAGGCTGGGCAAGTCATGGGGAGCAAGCCAGTAAGCAGTGTCTCTGCAGGTTCTGCTTCAGTTCCCGCCTTCAGGTTCCTGCATCGAGTTCCTGCCTTGGCTTCCCTCAGTGGACTGTATATGACCTGGGATATGCAAGCCAAATAAACCTGTTCCTGGCCAGGTTGCTTTTGGTCAGTGTGTTTTCGAAGCAATAGATTCCTTCAATGACAGGAATTCTAAATTGTAGCTGGGGACTTGGCTCCCACATGGAGTATGCCTTCCCTTGCATGTACGTACATCTATAAACAGAAGTTGTGGATGTTACCTTTAGACAAAGGCCCTCAACAAAAATGGCCATTTCACCCTTTTTCCTGGCTGGCTGGAGATAAGGGTGGAAGCCATCACTTGAACCTTCATGTCAGCCTCATGCTGAAGTGGCAATGATGTCTATCAGCCCTGTGCTTACCACTGAGCTAGGAATGAGAAATCAAAGTCTGTCTTGCTTCCAGTGAAAGGGCACATAAACTGTCTTAGTCCCTGTTCTATTTCTATGAAGAGACACCATAACCTTGGCAACACTTACAAAGGAAAATATTTAATTGGGGCTGGCTTACAGGTTTAGAGGTTTAGTCAATTTATCATTATGGTGGGAAGCATGGCGGCATATAGGCAGACATGGTGCTGGAGAAGGAGCTGAGAGTTCTACATCTGAATCAGCAGGCAGAAGGAAGAAAGAGAGACACTGAGCATCTGAATCCTCAAAGGCCACCTGATGGGGAATGTACTTCTTTGTATGTTTATCTTATTGATTATTGAGTAAAATACTGTTTGACCAATGAGACAGCAAGTTAGATGGAACTAGGAGTTAAAGAGGATTCTGGGAAATGTAGTAGAGAAGTGGTGATCCAGGCAGGAAGTGACATAGCAAGGAGACTCATATTTAAAGGAGGAGAAACAGGAAGTGTCCTTTTCCCCTCCACTCTTCCTCCAGCGGAGAGATGTGATCCACCGGCAAGGAGGGATGCCAGTAAGGCACCCGATAAGATAAGTCTTATAAAATATATCTTTTTATGATAATTAAGACTGAGCTAGCAGATGAGGAATCCTAGTCATTGGCCAAGCAGCTTTGAACCTAAAACAAGTTTCTGTGTATTCATTTGGGCCTAACTCGGGCAGGCGGCTGGCGTAAAGCGCACACGTGGTGATGGGGCTCGGTGGCTTTTGGCGGAAAGATTTATCGTAACAGCTACCTCCAGTGACACACTTCCTCCAAGAAGGCCACACTCCCTGGTGATCACATATTCAGTTTATGAGCCCATGGGCCCATCCCTATTCAAACCACCACAGAAACACCGCCACACCAGGGCCAATTCACAAAACTTTACCCTTACCCCCTGATCTTTTTAAGGACTAGCTTGCCATGGAAGTCTGTATTTTCATTTGTTTGTTTGTTGGGGCTTTTTAGGAAGCATAATCTTGTTTAGCCCTGGCTACTTCAATCATGTGATCCTCCTGCCTCAAGTCTACTTTTTATTGATGAACTATACAGTAAAATTACTCTGGAATGCATCAACACTCTCTTGAGCACTTCTAAGTCCCGAGTTGCAGGAGATCACACCTGCAAGGGTGCTTGCCAAAAACACATTAAAAAAAAAAAAAACCTAGACACAGTAACTTTCATCAATGCAGAGATGGCCATTCATGTCTTCTTTGGATGCACTGGGCTGTAGTTCTAACTGACTTATGTTATAGAGATAATATGCCCACAAATCACACTTCAAAAAAGGAGGCTGTTTTTGTTTTGTTTTGTTTTGTTTTTTCTTCATATATACAACTGAGATGTCTGGGGCTGTGATGATATTTTGTTTATGCTTTAACAAATAAAGCTTGCCTGAAGATCAGAGTGCAGACCTAGCAACTAGTTAGCCATAGAGGTCAGGCAGTGGTGGCACACTCCTTAATCCCAGCACTTGGGAGGCAGAGGCAGGTGGATCTCTGTGAGTTCAAGGTCACCCTGGGCTACATGAGACTGATGCAGTCTAAAACAGAAACAGAGCCAGTCCGTGGTGGCTCACACCTTTAAACCCAGTATTTGGAAGTCACACACCTTTAATCCCAGAACTAAGGAGATGGAGACAGGAGTAATATGGCTGGGTGGAGAGAGGACTATAAGGCGGGAGGAGACAGGAGCTCATTGCATCCAGTCAAAGGATTCGTAGGGACAGGAATGCCCCTTTGGTCTGAGGATTCAGTAGAGGTAAGAACTAGTGGTTGGCTGCTCTGCTTCTTGGATCTTTCATCATTAACCCATATATCTGACTCTGGGTTTTTATTATTAAAACCAATTAGAATTTGTGATACATGGAACTCATATTTTTCTATGAAAAATCATATAGACAAGTTTCCCTTGGGAAGATGGTCATCGAAAGACAAGAGCCTCTGTCTTCCAAAGTGCTATCTTCTTACTAAAGCTCTTCTCCCCCCCCCCCCCAATCACTTTGGTTCTTGATCGATGGAATCCATCAGGAGGCTGAAGACTGAACCTTGTGTGGTTACATAATGACTACTTTAGGATATCTTCTAGTTAGATGGTCAGATGCACACAAGTCCCCTAGGCCAATTTTAGAGTTTGCTGTGTAAGACCTTTACTTTTAGTTTTAATTTTATCCATGCTGTGTACTCGTTGAAGGAAGGGTTGTGGCCCAGCAGAGAAAACAAAGCCAGAGATGTGTCTTCAGTGGGGGACAATTCTCATAACTCACTAGACCCAAGGCACTTTAGTGATCTTGGACTCCACCACGATGACAAGGAAGATGTGAAAGGTGGATGCCCACATGGGTGGACATCATAGTCTTCTGTCCCTTGTGACCTCCATGTTCAAATATAGACCAACCTTACCAATCCTGTACACACCTTGCAGGTCATTTCTGGTTTCCCACAGAAAATTCCCATAGTACAGTTAGGTAAACCTTGCTATAAGCAATGATGCAGGATAATACTGTGGTTATTTCGACCCACCTTTTCAGGCTAATGGATTAAGAAACCCAGAAGTTTACCCAAGGTCGATTTTCAATATAGAAGAAAGAGAATGTTAGCTCTTTAGTATCATCCCTTTTCTCCATCTCTTTGACATAGCATCTTGCTCACAGCTTATGTGTTTTTCACCCGGATTATCATTAGATTGTTTTTGAAAGAAGTTGGGAAGGTAAATATGCATATGTTTTAACTACAATTTAAAGATATCATGATGAGGAAGCAGAAATAAATATCTCCAAGCTTTAACATTGTGCAGGTTGCCCCTGAGTAACACTAGTTATCATTCCACGAATAGTTATACCAAGTGTTAGGTTTGAATCAGCTTGTCATCCACAAACTTTGTGTCCAAGGCTTAGCTCCCCAGTGGGCAGTGCTTGTAACATGATAAATAAATTAACCCAGAGACAGTTATTAGGGTTCAAGCTGCAGATCAGGGAAGCAAAGCAGCCAAACTATCAGAGAGCTCTTACCTCTAACAGACTTGGGGTGTTCCTATTTTCAAAGTGGCTGGAGAATGAATGCCTGATACTGAGATGTTGCTCCTGTCTTGTATACCTTCCTAATGCTGTGATTAAAGGGGTGTGATTCAGGTACTGAGATCATCTTTGTGTGAGCTGTTTCTCTTTAGGACTGGATCAATCTTGTGTAGATCTGGGTGTCCTTGAACTCACAGAGATCTGTCTACCTCTTAATCCTGAGTCCTAGGATTAAAGGTGTGTACCACCACTTCCTTGCTTCTGGCTGCTGGGATTAAGGGTGTGTGCCATAGAAGCTATGGCTTGTGGCTGACTTTGCTTTCTGAATCCTCAGGCAAGCTTTAATGCATCATAAATAATATATCACCATAAGCGCTACTTGGGGGTGGGGGATGTAAACAAGTAGATGGGATTTAGCTGGAGGCAGCAGGAGATGGGGGAATGTGCTCTTCACTGTTGTTTTGCTCCTGGCCCTTTCCTTCCTCTCTTTCCTTTTGCTTTCTGACCATGAGGAAATAGCAACTTTGTTCTACACAGGCTCTTGCTGCCATGATGTTCTGTCCCATCACAAGTTCAGAACAGTTCAGCCAACCATGGACTTGAGCCTCTGAAACCACGAGTTAAAAAAAAAAAAAAAGTATTTCTTTCTTTTAAGTTGTTCTCCTATGCATTCGTCACAGCAATGGAAGGCTAATCAACATAACTGTGTTCCCCATAGTTCTGGGCATTTGAATCCTTGGTTCCCAGCATGTGGTGTGATTTGAGAGTTTCTTTTTTTTTTTTTTACAAGTGTGGCTTTGCTTTGGGAACTGTATCACTGGGGCAGGCTTTGAGATCTTAATATTTTACTCTACTTTCAGCCTGTTCTCAGCTTCCTGCTTTGGCTGCCATGCCTGCCACCAGAATGCACTCTCATCCCTCTGGAACTGTAAGCTACATAAATCTTTCTTCTATTAGTTACCAGGGTTATGGTATTCTATCATAGCAACAGAAAAATAAATAAAACAATATCTAACACACTGTGAATTAAAAGCAAGATAAGCATCAGTGAGGTGTGTAGAACCTTCACTAACAATTAGAAACAAGTACATTCCAGCTTGGATGAAAGTTACATGTGGCTTGGCAATCATAAATACCCCTCCTTCTCACCCAAATTGTGAAAATCCACTGATTTTGCTTCTACCCAGAACTTCAGCCTCTTCAGCTGTTCTTCCAGTGGTGGCCTCCAAGACACACGCCCTTATTTAAAATTATCACCTTGAAAAGGTGCCTGTGTGTGCGTGTGTGTGTGCGTGTGCGTGTGTGTAATTCGGTGCTTGCAGTCTACGACATCTGGAAGCCTGGATGTGTGTGATGTCTGTCATCTCCACTTTCTCTAGTGTTCATTTCTTCATTTACCCCTGATTGGCTTTTGGAAGTTTTTAAGGCATTCTGAGCTCTACTCCTCACTCAGTATTCTCCCCAGCGTCACCATGCCGCTCCCACCGGCTACCTACATCCCTCCACCCTCCCTCCCTAGCCATGCTCATTGCTTGCCACTTGGCAAAATTTGAAGTATGTGAGTGGTTTTTGTTTTGTTTTGTTTTAATGAAAAAAAATATGTATAAAAACACCCTATTTCTGTTTCCTTTTCAGAAAAAAGGGGAAAGATGCAGAATAGACTTGTGACCTTGCCTTTGTTCATACCAGAGGATTTATTTTACATTTAGTCAATCATGATCGCATGTAATATCATTTCCGTTTCTCTCACATAATAATCCAAAGTTATCCTGAGATGCAAAATAAAAATTACCTCATACTTGTTTAATTCTTGAATTAACTTTTTTTCTTGTTTGACAAATTCCTTTTCATCTTCTTCTAATTCCAATTTAAGTTGATCAATTTCCCCCACAAATTCATAGATCTCCTGTTCTCTGCTTTTTGTCTAAGCAGAGGAAAATGAGGTTTGTTATTTCTCTTGTCATGTTAGTTTTACATTTCTAAACTGCCTGATAAACTGTGGGATTTCTCAGCAAACACTGAGGAGGATGGCACTGCCTGTTTTCCTTTAGAAGTTTAGTCTTTCACAAAATGATAATAACTAAATAACACAAAGAATGAGAGGGTTGGGGGTGGTGCTTATACAAAGGGTAATTGTAAGAGTAATAAAGGATGCTTGGGGCGGGGCTTTGGTGGCAACCTCCTTTAATGTCAGCACTCAGGAGGCAGAGGCTGTGGGTCTTCGGGAGTTCGAGGCCAGCCTGGTCTACAGAGTGAGTTCCAGGACAGGCTCCAAAGCAATACAGAGAAACCCTTTCTCAACAAACAAACAAAAGCTTGGGAAGCTAGGATCTGCTTCCATGCCTCAAAGATACACCCTAGAGACCACTCCTAGGTAATGTGCTGGATCTCTCTTGGGCCAGCTTGTCACCAAACTGCTACATTTGCCACCAAGCTGCTATACTAGCCACCAAGGCTGATGATCTGAGTTTCATTTCTGGGACCCTATGGTAGAAGGAGGAAACCAATTTCTTGAAGCTATTCTCTGACCTCTACTTGAACATATGCAAATACATAAATATAATAAAATAAAAAAGGTTAAAACATCTCTAGTTGTAATCCAATCTTGTTTGTAATTCAAATATATAAAAAATAAAAAAATCTCTAGTTAGCATACACAAATGGACAGATTTTTAAAGAAAGAAAAATAATAAGTACACTAACCATAAAATCAGGAGAAAGGAAAACACCTTTTAATAAAATAAGGTTTGTTTAAATATTGAAGGGGTGTTACTGATTTCTCTGTTGGGGGCTACCATAATTCTAAACACTTTGAGTTTTCTTACCTCTTCAAGTAATTGAGCTCGCTTCGCTTCTGTCATCTCAATTTTATTTAAAATCCGTCTCAATGTGGCCCTTGCTTTAGTTAGCCAACGTATATGCCTTTTTTTCAAACAGGTTATTTTCCACTGAGTAACAACACTAGAGATCAGAACAAAACAGATTCAGCATTATATCGGCATAGCAGCTTATGTCAAATACAAAGCAAAACAAGTCCAACTACCATTTTACCATGCTGCCTGGGCCTTCCTTCAGTGAAGGGCTGCTAACTGAAAGGGAAAGCAGAATGCTGCTGGCTGCCTCAGCACCACCTGTGTTTGCCCCTTCTAAGTGAGGAGAGGTCCTGTGCCCATGACAACAGCATGAAAAACACACTGAGATGCTCTCCTCTTTCGGTTTGAGGATGGATGTGAGGAAGGCACCAAGGAAGGTGGAGAAAGGAGAGGCATGGCCAGAAATAGTAAAGGGGTTACCCAAAGCACCCAGAGTACTAACAAGTAACTTCAACCTTTTAGATTCTCAAACTTAAAAAAAAAAAAAAGCCAACTCCCCGACCCCCAGGGATAAACAAACAAACAAAAAAAGCTGTATCTTTGGAGAATGGTAAAAAACGTACAATTTCAGTTTTATAAGTTATAGTATTAATAACAACAATACTAATAAAATATCCCTAAGTGCTAGTGAGTGCTTACTAGGTACGTTTGCTCTCCATACTTTTGATGGATCATCTCTTTGACATTCACAACAAATTTGTAAGGAGGGGGCCATTATCAATGCCAACTCTATAGGAGTGGGGGCAAAGAGAACAGATTAACTGAGCCATGCTTAGAACTAATAAGACAGAGTGGTCCATGTGAAAGTCTGTGATCTTAATTACTGTCTTCTATATCACCCTTATTGTAAATTGACCCAGAAGTCTGGGTGGGCAGCAAATCTTGCACCAATACTGGCAATCTCACTCTTTGGTGATTTCCCTGGATTGAGATGGAAAACTCTGGTTATTTTCAGTGCAAAAACAAAACACAGCCTAACAAACATATCTAGATCTGAGTGACTTTATATACAATTTAATTTAGGACAGTAAATTAACGTTTACTACCGATCTCACACAAATACACATCACAACACATCACATTACCTTCTCTGAGATTTTCTTTCCAGATTATCATTCATGATTCTTATTTGATTACGATATACTTCCTTTGTTGCTCTAAAAAAATAAATATACATATTGGATTTTGGACTTATAGTTTGTCAAATACTTATGAAAGTCTTAAAATATTTATTAGAATGAGTATGGCTAATTGGAAAGTTTTAGTGGCCATCTTCCAAAAGGGCATTTGAACTGCTCCTGCAAGCCTTGGGTTGAATATCCAAGAATGGAGAGGAGAGTCTAGGAAAGCACTGAAGGCAAGTCTCTGGAGGCTTTGGTTAATAGGGAGGAATATGGATGGCCAGAATGGAGGCATGATCTTGCCAAAGGAAGGGCGTGATTATTTGCGAAGATACAGAAAAAAGCATGGAAAGCCAGAGTCCTGTCACAAAACTAGTTGGGAGGCTTGCTGCCTGGTGACTGTGAAGGGAGCACAACACTGTGTCTGGGAGGGGTCAAGATCAGCAAACTGTTGAACTCTGTGTCCTAGACAAAGTTCTAGCTTTGTATAATACAGAACACAGAAAAGCAAGACGAGTTTTTGAACTAAGACACACAGTCTTAAGTGTGTGAGATTTTCCTATGGTAGGCTGGAGAAAAATGCAAAGACTCCAGCACAGGTAGCACCCGCCTTTGGTTCTGCTCTCTTTCCTCTAACCACAGCTTCATACAGAAACAAACCAAGTGCCACTTAGGTGAAATGCTACTTTGTGTCTTTTCAAAGACAGAAATACTCATAAATGAAACATATACTTGAAATGTTGTTACATAAGATTTTTTAAAGGCCAGAAATGCAAATTAAAGGATTCAAAATGCAATTAAATCAACCAGAAACAACAACCACGCCTATGTTTCATACTCTATTTGAAATGATCTAATAGCCTATTTTAGATCTCTAAAGTTCTTTACAATTCTATCTCTCCTTTCTTAGTTTGTTGGAATATATATATATATATATATATATATATATATATATATTTTTCCACAAATGATCTGAGCCATTTTAAAGTAAGGTAACAATAACATGGAATACCAAAGTTCATAAAAAAAAACATTGAGCTACACATTTGATTCTGAGCTTCTTGGTGAGCAGAGCAAGAACCACACAATAACTCATCAAAAGGGTTGGGTGTGTGGTGGCACATTCCTTTAATCCCAGCACTCAATAGGCAGGGGCAGATGGATGTCTGTGTTTGAGGTCAGTCTGGTCTACATAGTAAGTTCAGGATAACCAGGACTACATAGTGAGAGCCTATCAAAAAAACTATAATTAATACATTTACATTATTAATTAGAAAAATAAAATCTGATTGAACCCATTTCAGTTTTCCTGCTCCTTCATAGGAAAAGTTCATAGCTTTCATTCTGAAGCTAACCCAAAAAACCTAGATGTTTAAGTGATTGCTTATATATACAGAGACAATCATGCAAAGAACCTATACTTCATGTCTATGCCGGCTAATTTTAAGTCAACTTGATACAAGCGAGAGTCATCTGAAAGGAGGGAACTAAAGTTGAGAAAATACCTCCATGAGATCAGGCTGTAGGCAAGTCTTTGGGGATTTTTCGTAATTGATGACCAATGTGCGAGGGCCCAGCCCATTTTGAGTGGGGCCACCCCTGGGCTGGTGGTCAGAGGTTCTATAAGAAAGCAGGCTGAGCAAGCCATAGAGAAGTCAGCCAGCAGCATTCCTCCATAGCCTCTGCATCAGCTCTGCCTCTAACTCCCTGCCTTATTTGAGGTCTTAAGCTGACTTCCTTAGCTGAGGAACAGGATGTGGAATTGCAAGCCAAATGAACCGTTTCCTTCCCAAGTTGCTTTGGTCACGGCATTTCATCACAGCAGTTGTAACCCTATCTAATACAATATCACACCCCAGCATTCTACTGCTATGTTCAGTTTTTGGCACCACCTGCCCTGGTTGTGTAAGGTGGCCTTGTTACTGCCCTATATTCAAATAATGTGCTCCTTTTTTTTTTCTTGTTTGCATTCATTCTCTTTTTTTCTCCTGTCTTAGTGCTGTGGCTGAGCACAATATTAAGTAAGCGTGCAAAGAATGAATACTTTTGATTCTTACTCGACTCTAGAGAAAATACTTACAGTTTTACCCCCAGTTAGTATACTATTGGGTTTAGGTTTACCATGGCCTTTTTTATCTGGCTTCTTTGGGTATTTTATTACAAAAGGAATTTAAAATTTGTCAAAAGACTTTTCTGTGTCTATTAGGATGATCACGTGATTTCCGTTCCTGAGTCTATCTGCACATCCTTGGAATGAAACAACTCAGACAACAAGTATAATCTTTTATATGTTCTGGAGCTTGATTTGCAAGTGTTTTGGTGAGAATTTTTGCATCTTGGCTCATAAGGAAAATTATTTTACAGCTCCTTCCTTCCATTGATGTGTTCTCATCTGGTTTGGGTATCAAGGTGATACTGGTTTTAAAGAACGAAATTGGCAGCATTTCTCCCCTTTCTGTTTCAGTGAGTCATTTGAATACTTTAGTTCTCTTTTGGATTTCTGGATGAATTCCCCAGTGGACCATCTGCTCCTGCCTGGGCTTTCCTTTTGGGGAAACAACTTTGCTACTGTTTCAATCATATTGCTCAATACAGATCTGTTTGAGTTGTTTGTATCCTCTTGATTTAATGTTGACAGGTCATATGTAGTATGAAAGGTCATTAGTAATTTGTCAGCTTGTTCATTTTCTAACTTGTTGGACAATATATTTTCAAACAACTCCATAATGCCTCTCTGAACTTGAGTAACATCAGTTGCGATGTCTCCCTTTCCTTCTCCCAATTTTGTTTCTCTCTTCTGCTAAGTTTTGCTAAGTGCTCGGTGCTTTAAATCTTTCCAGAGAACCAAATCTGTGTCACTGATCCTTCCTGCTGTTCTCCTAGTCGCCATTTCATTGATCTACACCATGATTGTCACTGTTTCCTTCCATTTACTAATATTAGGCTTGGCTCAGACCTGTTCTTTAACAGCTGTTGTGCATCACTAAGCAAACAGAACAGTTATAGAAGTATCACAATATCTGGTTTCAAATTTTGCTAAAGAGCCATAGTAACAAAACCAGTATGGTACTGGCAAAAACAAAAACAAACAAACAAACAAAACCCCCCAAACCAAAGTAGTTACATAGGTCAAGGAAGAACAGAGGACTCAGAAGTGCATAGCAGTTACAGGCATCTTCTTTTTGTCAAAGGCACCAAAAATAAGTATATTGGAGAAGAGAGAACCTTTTCAACATATGGTGTTCAGAAGACTTTCAACTTACCTTCTCCCACTTATGCAGCTATTGCTTAATAATAAATTCCTATTTAGACTACCTGGTTAAGATGGAGAAGGCATTTAAAAAAACAAACTTCTTACACAAATGCCCTGCTTAAAAAGCTGCAGTCTTTCACTGATGCAGGACCTTCTTCAGCTTGTACTTTTGCAGTTTACACTGTTTTGTTTACAAGCATACATGGTTCATTTGATATTTCATATGTGTTTGTCTTACTTGTCTCCCCACCAATAGTGCACAGATGTTCCTTTCTCTACACACCCTGCCTGCAATTTTATTGTGGCTTTCTTGGTAGTAGCCATTCTTACTGAGGTGAAGTGCAATCTGTGTGGTTTTTATTTACCTTTCCTTATAGGTAAGGTGAACAGTTTATCATGTATTAATTGACCACTTGTGTCTCTTCTTTGGAGACATTTGTTTAATTCATTTGAACATTCATTAAATGTTCTATTTGTTCTCTGGGTATATAACTTGTTGAGTTCTTTATATATTTTGGATAGTAATTCTTTGTCAGATGAATAGCTGGCAGAGATTTCTTCCGGTTTGGTGGGCTTTCTCTTCACTGTGGTCACTGTCTCCTTTGCTGCCCAGGAGCTTTATAACTTGATGCTTTATGACATCATAACCTGTCTAGAAGTTTTTGTTGTTAAGCCTGGGCTATTGGGGGCCTATTCAGAAAGTTGTTATTTATTCCTGTATCTTAAAATGTTTCCCCTTTTCTTGTAGCATTCACAAAGTCTTGGATCTTACTCAGTCTTTTATTTCTGCTTTGTTGGCTCCAGTGGTGCTGGGGATTGAAGCTAGAGCTTGAGTGTGCAGGCAATTGTCTTGAGTCATGTTCCTGTCTTTGCGAAGATAAAATTTTAAGTGGAAGATCATGTTCTAGAGTAATAAAATCCAATTTTAAATATGCTCCATAGATACACATCTCTTTATATTAACATGTGTGTAAAGTATGTGTGGCAAATAGTGATTATTTCTGTGGAAAGATGGAGAGATTAGGGTAACTCTTTTCCATAAATTACATATTTTCACCCTTAAAAATTAAAATTGGGAATAGGTGCTACTTTGTTGGGGAAAATGTAAATGACTTAGAGGGGCAGAAATAAGGATATTGGAGAAGAGTATTGAGATAATGGTCAGGCCCATGCTTGCCACAAGTCCTAGATCTGGTCCGTCCTTTGTCACCCAGCTTCTGGAGCACCAGTTGACCCCCTCAGTAAAGTATACATTGACCATGACCTTTCTTTCTGAACTGTGGAATACAGAAAGCTAATTATAAACTCGCTTGCCTGTAAGATACCACATGTCCACATAGACCTGTGGTTCCAGTTTAAAGAAATAAACACAAAGAGAGTAAAAGTTTAAAATGGTAAAGGCACAAAACATACTCAAGAAGATCCCGAAGGGTGTCATATCCTTCTTCCATATTTTTGATGTCAAGTTTTCTTTGTGCTAGGAAGGTTTCTTTCTGATTAATGAGTGTAATCTGCTTCTGATTTCTATGATAAAAAAAAAGTGACAGTCATTTTACTGAATGTTGAAATGATCATCCTGAGGAGCTGGAGGTTTGAATGCAGAGGCTTAGACACTATAGGCAAAAAGATAATCTTTATTTCCCAATGCAAAAAAAACTGTAAGCATAAGTTCTTTTTAAAGGAATTAAGGATTGAGAGATGGCTCAGTGGTTAAGAGCACTTGCTATTTCAGAGGACCAGCTAGGTTTGATTCCCAGCAGCCAGATGGCTGCTCACAACCATCCATAACTCCAATTCCCAGGGATCCAATGCCCTCTTCTGACCTCCCTGGGCACCAGGTACACGTGTAGTGCACAAGTATACATGCAACATGAAAGAAAGAAAGTAGATACATGAAAGAAAATAAGTAGATCTTTAAAAAATTTTTAAAGGAGTTGGGGAAGCTTAGATTATGAATAATTTACCAAATAAACCAAGAAAAACAGAAACAAATCTCTGTTCAAGCAGGGGATTAATATAAATTTACAAATGGAACTTGCACAAAATTCACAATTCTCAAGCCACCGAAAGGACACACTCTGCAATATAAACACAAGACAGCATGGGTGGTTGTCTAGCATTTCATCTTCCTCCAGTGGCTATGCATCTCTCAATACAGTTATAACTTCCATCAGGTTTTCCTCAAAAAGGAGAGGAACACAGTCAGATCACCTCTGAGGATGGGCTGAACATCTGAGTTGTAATGGGACCTTGGACAAGAAACCTTACCTGTGGATAAGTCTGCATTTCACCATCTCAAAAATGAGGGCTACAATACCTGTCTCACTGGTAGAATGGATTATCTCACTACTAAGTGGGCATGCAGACCAATGAGACTTCTTATGGCTGGTGTTTTCCGTCTGATATACAGCAGAGACAATGAAGCTCGAAAAAGTTTATGGTTTTGTTTAAATGGTCCAACTGTGACAACAACTTCTCTGGCAGAGAAAGCATCCCATGTAAGTGACACACCTTCAAAACCATCCTAATGTGATGCAGAAAGTAAAGTAACTTATGCTCTCTAGATTACATATTTCTATGTTTAAGAATCATGCAGAGACATAGGATTTGATAATGCTTTGGGTGCATATTGTCATGGGACCTTCGGGAAGTGATTTAGTGTGGATGAGGTCTTCAGGGCGGGGTCCTCATGATGAGATTAGGTCCTTTTAAGGAGAGAAATAAAACTCACTCTTTATGTAAGGAGAGAGAAAAGAGGAGGAGGGACACACACACACACACACACACACACACACACACAGAGAGAGAGAGAGAGAGAGAGAGAGAGAGAGAGAGAGAGAGAGAGAGAGCACTATTTGTAAGTCAGGAAGAGGGTCTTCACTAGAACCTAAACATGTTCATATTGGCACTGCCATCCCAGGTTCCCAGCATTTACAGTTGAGAGAAAATAAATTTCTGTTAAGGCCAGCCAGTTGATGCCATTTCATTATGGAGAATGAGATGAAGACAAAAGGCCATGATGACAGTGAGTTTTTAGTGTTGTGGTCATTTGCCATCAGCACAATTTACTATTCTAGATGATGACTTAGAGAATTTATCTGGGGATGGTTTGCAGTAAGACGAGACATGATGATTGTAACAACTCTATAACTTAATTGCTAAAAGAATGAATATGAACTCAGCTTTACATAAGTGGGCCTGGGTGTATACAGCAATTATATTCCATGGGCCATAACTTCAGGTATATTAGTGGGCTTTTTCCTATATAATTTCATTTTTTCAAGATTCTACTCTGTAAATATTCATAAAAAAGGCATCAGTGAATATTGACCACCTACACAGCAATGGATGAAGTCCTAGGCATACAGGATGGAATAAGACAGAAGGCCTTTTTATGGTTTCTCTGTAGCCCAATAAGACCAGAGGTTTGATATCCAGTTGTTATGGGATGGTGTTGGGTCAAAGGGTTGGAGGCAGTCAAGGTGGGGGTGCAAAAACAGAAGAGAAGATGTTTTGGGAGGCAGGCCAAAGCAAGGTGCTGAATGGAGAGGAAGGAATATAGTGGGGAAACATTTGGGAGGTAGAGTTACCAAGCCTTGGTCACCAAATGGAGTTTAATAGGTAGTGAACAAGAAATGATTTCCTTCAGTACTTTCTGAAGTCACTGTAGGTAACCAAACTCCTGACCAAGAAAGGGAACACATGTGCTGAGTCAGTGTTTAATAAAGGTAGATAGTATAACTCACTGGAGAGTCTCACACAGTAATTATTGTTTTCCAAGTCTGATTTACAAGTATTAATAATGCATTTAAGTTTTATGGATTTGAGATGATCTAGATGAGAAAAGCATTTCTTAGCACTGTAGAGGCAGATTAGAAGTGTGCCTCTTGATGATTGAATTAAGAGTATCATGTCAACAGAGTTGAAAACTAAGATGAGTTTAGATGGGCACATCACCACTTGGACAGCAAGGCAGGCACCTGTAGCTGTGGCAAGCTGAGTAAACACATACTCATCATAGATCTTCTGTTTTTCCACAGACGCTTTATTTTCATCCTCCGCGACTATCTTATATTGGTTCACGAGTTCAAGTAGTCTCTCTCGGAGATCTCTGTTCTCTAATTGGGCTTTCTGTAGTTTTTCCACAACCTAGAAAAAAGGGAGAGAGAAAGAGATAGAATTAAAGGAATTTATTGGGGCTTCCTTTGGAGATAATGGTCTTGTGGTGAGCAGTGTCAATTGATAGTCCCTCATACACTGCAGATCATAACATAGCAGATCATGAACAAAGGGCAACTGACTTGATTCTACAGCAAATATGTGAATGTATGCTTTGAAGCTTTTTCTGGGAATTATGACAAATGTGCAGAAATGTTGTCAACATGGACATGAAATCATAGAATGATAATTCATGCTGAAAGGGAATATTATAAACAATCTTTGATCATGAAGCAACCATTTTGTGTCCCTTTCCAAGAATATAAGGTGCAGTAGGGCAAAGAAAACATCATCTCATAGAAGCCCTCACTTGATTCTCTGACCATTCTTGCTTCGTGGTAAGTAAAATGAACCTTCTGCATCCTCCAATCCCCCAGAATAGTATGAGCCTGATGAACCTGTTCCTTCAACCCAATACAGATTGGATATATTTGAAAAATAAGAAAGGCCAGAAGGTCCTAAAAAGCAAACTGTGAGTTTTCTATGTCCCAATCTGTAAGGTATTGTAAGGTATTGTAAATACTGTAGAAATACAGAATGTGGGAGAATAGACCTTAGTTATATGCACATTTATTTACTGTTCTGTATATGTATGGAATTTTATAATCAGCAGGCTAGGTTAGTAACATATTATCAGGTCAAAGAAATGTTTGCCACAAAAACTGTTCACATTAGCCAAGGTAAAGCAGCCAAGCCTAAGTGTCTCTCAATGGAATGATAATGACCATTAGCGTGCAAGCATGATAAAACACTATTCAGTCTTTAAGCAGGAGGAAATCCTGTTGTTTGTAAGAACATGAACTGGGACACTGTGTTAAGTAAAACAATCTAAGCATAGGCAGATAAATAATCGCATTTATATATGGAACATAAAAATTGTTGGATATATAGAAGCAGAAAGTAAAATTGTGGTAGCCAGGGGCCAATGGAGATAGACGTGGGGAATGTTGAAGTGGGAGATCTACCCCACATCCACTAAAAAATTTTTGCAGTAGCTCATGGAGTAATCAGTGTTGTTAAATTTGCTTCTAAAACTCATTGAAAGGATAAATTTTATACTTTTGCTGATTTGGAACGAGACAGAAAGAGAAGCTGCAAGAAGAGGGTACTGATGCGAAGGGTGGACTGTGGGACCCAGTGTTAGTATATGGGGGTAGGGAAGAGGGACCAAAGACATTTCTCCTTCAATGCCAGTAATAAGAAACATCTCAGGTATTTGTGTATACACATAAATGAATGGACCCTATGATATACACTGTTCTATAGTATAGCACTTGGCATTCAATAATGTATTGTGAGCAATACTATTACTCAGTTAATACTAAGTAATACCGATACCCACTCCCTAATTTTTACTACCCCAATGAATGTTACATTGAGTATCTCATGGCTAAATCTTTCTTTACATTCATGGTTACTTATTTATACAATTTCTTTTTACTTAAGTTTAGAAAATGTCTGGATTGAATTTCCATAAGAGTGAATTTGGGTGTAAAATTCTAAAAAAATTAAAAGAAAAGAAAACTTAGGAAAAATTCAAAAGACAAGGAAAACTAGATTTAAAAGAAAGCAAAATAAAATATCTACAGCATTCACCTGGTGATAAATACAACTCAAATACTTTTTATAACATTGATGTAATAAATGTAGAATGATTGTCATGCTTTGCAGATAACACACAATAGCATGATGGTTGTGTTACCCTAAGTAATTTACATGTCCATTAAACATACTTATTCCTGACATAAAGCCATCTACCCACAGGAAAAGTAACCAAAACTAGATGAGATTCATTTCACACAGATGATCTTTGCTGTTTCATACTCTTAGAACTCGGGTAGGAGCTCAGCTGTTGGAAGTAGTTTCTGTGAATTATCATAGTGGTCTATGAAAAGCCTGCTTTGGAAATGTTCAACATTTATTGTATATTCATTATATTAACTAAAAAAACAGATGTAATTATCAGGTAAGTCATTTCTGTCACCCTACCTGCTGTATCTTAGTCAAGAATATATTCTTCTGGTTAGTGCATGTAGCATTTAGCCTTTCCTTGTGATTACGAAAAAACAACCTTATGAACATAGGAAACAAAACCCATGAATGTTAGAACACATTTTTCCACAAATCCACACTTATTTATGACATCTTCAATTCTTTGGACCTATCTCTGTAAACCTATTTTTCGTTATGTATTACTCTATATTTTTACTCTATTGTATTAATTAATTAATATACCATTTGTTTATTCATGTATTTGAGAAAAAAATTATTGAACACTTGCACTGTGTAAGATTTGTTCTAGGTATTATGGACACAAAATATGTCAAATCCTTACTCCTATGGAAATTAAATCTAGTGAGTGATCAGAATAGAATTGACATACAAAAATTATACTGTATTTCAGATCGTCTTATATAGTCTAAAGAATGTAAACTGGGTAAGGATATTAAGACCCTGAGAACAAGAATGCTGTTAGTGACTAGTGGTTTAGGATGCCCCATGAAAGACTTGGGTGCTGAGAAGGAGCCACCCACATACAGACGTAAAAGACTTCGTGAAGGGATAAGATCCCGAGGCAAGAGATAGGCTTATATTGTTGAGGTGAGAGGATGACCTGACTGTGGGGGTGGGGCGTGGTAATTAGAACATGTCGGGTGTTGTAGGGCAGGCAGGATTTCGTATTTTATTCTGAAGGGATCTGGGAAGGAAGCTTTAGAACAGAGGAGTAGCTTAAGTAACCCATGCTTTGTAAAAAGGACTCTGATGTCTTTGTGGAAAAAGACAAAAATGGAGGAAGATCCCTACTGAAAGTGATGGCTATAGTCTTAATCAGGCAGTGGAGATCGTCGTAAGTGGGTATATATAGGTGCATTCAGGTGTGATGGCTTGAATATAAATGTTCACATAGATTTGTGTATTTGAATGCTTGCTTGTTAAGGAGTGGCACTACTTGACAAGGATTAGGAGAAAGAATTTAAGGAGGATAAATGCCTGAGTGATGTCCAAGAAAATACAAACATAAAGATGATAGAAATTGTAGCGTGAGCTTTCTTGGCCCAGCTAGGTCCTGCCGCCCTTCTCTGCCCCAAATAAAATACACAGACACTATATTAATTATAAAAATGTTGAGTTTTGTCTATGGTTTCTTATTGACTAGCTCTGGCTCAATTATTAATTCATTTCTATCAATCTAAGTATTTCCACATGGTCTTGGTTTACTGGGAATGCCAGACCCGCAACTCCTTTGCCTGCTACATCTCCGCAGAGAAGAGAGGAGAGCGATTTCCTGTTTGTCCCTGTTTATATACTGATTCTGCCCAGCTACGTCATTTCCTGCTTGTCTGTTCAGACCTCCATACCTCTATGGTTAGTAGCAGTTTCTGCCCAGCTATGTCACTTCCTGGGATCACATGATGACTCCACTCTACCTACACTTCCTGGAATCCTCCTCATACCCTAGTACCACCTATCTTGCTGCCCTACTGGCAAACAGTGTTTTGTTCATCAATCAATAAGATAAACATATACACAGAAGAACATTCCCCATCAGGAAATGTCAAAGACAACCCAAAATTTGAGAACAGAATTCAATCAGAGATAGAAACACTGAAGAAGACTCAAGCTGAAATAAAGAAGGGATTGAAAAACCCAATAGTTTAACTAGAAAACTCAAAGGAAGGCCTTACAATGGAATGAATCAAGCAGAAGACAACACCATGTCAGATCTTGAATATAAGGTAGAGTCTAGACCAAATGAGCAAGAAATATGAAAAACAAAATCAATCAAACAACAACAACAAAAACAAAGAAAAGGAACATGTGGAACACAACAAAGAAAACCAAATGTTCAAATGATAGGCATAAATGAGGAAGAATTGTAAGAACTCAGGCATTATGCTGTCCTGCCCCCTGTCACTTGGCAGCATGCACTCAGGGAGTACCCTGGTCAGCCCAGGGTTCTATGGTCACCCCAATTCTTCTCAAATGGTTTATGATTTACAGAAAGAAATCTAAGAACCTTTTGAAAAAAAAAAAAGTTGCCCGATTTGACAGGAATGGATGCTATGGAAAGTCTTGCTGATACCATAGCATCATTCAACCTGATGAATTACTTTAATAGATTTTTTTTTCTAGCAGGTGTTGCTCTTGTCTTAGCAATAGTAGCTTTTTTAGCTTTAAAATGTGTGTTGGTCTACTTACATAGGATCGTAAGGCAGATAGAAAAACTGTATATACTGTGAGGCTGCATAACATTCAAAATAATTGATTTTTGTATAAAAGAGAGGGAAATCTGTAGCAGAATGCTAACAGCTAGCACCAACCCCCACTGGGTCATACCTAGCCTAGCTCCAGAGAGTTAGCATCTAGCCATAATCCATCCGTTGTTGAGGGGAGGGATACCTTTTGTCTCCCTATGTATACCTTGTTTAGGAGTTTCCCAAGGATACAAAAGCCTATGCAAAACTTGGTTAGGAAACAAAAAACTGTGGTACCTGATAAAGAGAGACTTTGCACTTGGCATTGTATTTTTGAAAGCCTCATTCAAGTTGTTCTGAGCATATGGTGATCAACTGGCTAAAGTGTAAATATTGAGAAAAATAAAAATTCCCTGGGCATAGGGAAAGTCCTTCTGTGTAGGGAGCTGCAAAATACCGCGCCCAAAAGATGGCGCTGGTTTCTGCCCTCTGTCAGCCCGACGGTGAGTGCTCTCTGTGGTAAACAACTCCTAATTTCGTAAAGGTCATGTATCCTCTTAATTCTGCTTGGAGACAACCAATCCTGGTGCACCATGTAGGGTTAGGTATTGGTAGATGTAGACTATTATCAGGCCCTGTCTCCCTCTACCCGGGGCCACCATTACACTGTAAAGCAAAGAAGTTCCCGATTAAACTGTGTTGAAGAGATTGCTCGATCTTGCCGCGTCCTTGTGGACAATGTAAGAACAAAACACCTGGATGACCCTAACCCCGCTCCCTAACAAGCGGGTACTCACTCACCCGCCATGCCTTTCGACCTTTGCCTTACTGTGCATATGCAACCTTCCCTTTAAAAGGTCCTGCCCCACACCCCTCTCTCTCTTTCTCTCGGCTCCCCTAGGGTTGGCTGACTGCCCATCCCCCCCTTTCCCACCTCTCTTGTAAATAAACTCCACGTGGAGTGCTTATTCGTTGTTCCTTTCTATATTAGCAGCTACAGCTTAAACAAAAGAACAACATTTTGGCGCCCTGGACGTGGGAGGGCTCTGCCCTTGATACCCCCTCCACAACCCGCTGGCGGGTACGTGTTCGGTCAAGGGCATCCTTATCATGCAGATAAACAATCCACATTCCAGATCACCGTTTTGCTGG